ATTTACATTACATACTATAATATTATGATCTAAACAAAATCGTTAAATTTGACCTTTAAGTATCGTACTGAATTCTGTTGTACGAGTATAAAGCGGTCAAAACTATATTGGACGAGATGCTACCCGAGTCTGGTATATGTTTTGCAGCTGTGTACAAGTAAAAACGAATAAGTATTGTTCTCAACCCTGTTTAAAGTCCCCTTTTTACACCAAAATTTCCATTTTGAAATTTTTGTCAGAACGTTGTTACTTCAATTATCAAAGGATTTGAAATGGTATTGTTTAATTCAGAGATGTTTATTGATCATTTGTGATTTAGGTTTTGGAAATTTATGGAACAATGTTAATGTTACAAGCATCCAATTAAATAATATTATGCATATAATTTATGATCATCAATTACAACAATGGTGTTCTGAGCTTAGTAGTTTTCCTGAATTATGTAGTTACAATTTATTTAAATTTAACTTTATTCAAAAAAAGTACTTAGATGTTGTAAATAACACTAATCATCGTAAAGCATTATCAATAAGAATAAATTGTTAATAGAAGACGGAAGATATAGAAATATTGATAGGAATTTACGTGTATGTACTAAATGTAACATGAATCAAATAGAAAACGAATATCATTTCTTATTAGTTTATCCATTCTATAGTAAATTGAGAGGTCAATGTTTTCCTCGGTATTATTGTCATTGGCCAACCATTAATAAATTTATATCAATTATGCAATCTTCGCAAAAGAATATAATTGTTAATTTAGCTAAGTTTATCTATTGTGCTATGTGTAAGAGAAGCTCAAACAGTTGATTTTATGAATGTAGGTATTTGGTTTCATATTAATATGTTCTTTATTTTCTTCTGTGACTCATACTGACATTTTGATATTTTGTAGTAGTTATGTTAACTGTTTACCATACTTTTCTTATGTTATGTAAATATGTTATAACCGCCACGGTAATTTGGCGATGAACATGTATTTGTTTTTGCCGATAAAATATTTGACTTGACTTGTAATAGCGTAATAATAATAATTGGCGTTCGTTTGTGTATTGGATATGCTAGGGTCAATTAAGTACACGTCCGATGTTTATCGGGCGTAAATCTTGGACTTACATTTTTTACCGTTATTGTAAAGGGTAATATAACTTAAAGTATTCTATGAAATCAGATACATCATCGAATTAACTTAAATTAAATTTCGTTATAATCAATTAAATGGATTTTGAAATAATCTTATATTAATTTTGCATTTATAATCAGTTATTAAAGCGACTTATCATATTAAGTAAGTAATACATTTTTGAATATTCTCGTCTATCATTATCATAATACATGTAATTATTATGTTATTGTGCTTATATCGTTTATTTTTTCTTTAAAAAACTTAACCTGACAAGCTTCCAATATTTTTCTCTCTACATTTTGGCACAATTTCCCATGGTAAAATTAGAAAATATCGAGATTTCAATTAAAAACAAAACAATGGCTACTAATATACGTGTCAAAAAGGTTAAATACATTTTATGCACTTTAAAAAATGTTTGCCATGGCAAAACTACGAAAATAGCAATATACCATGGCAAATGCAAACTCTATGCATGCCATATTCTGGCAAATATTTCTGTCCGAAGTGTTGGCTGCTACTCAATTTCTAACAATGTTTGTTTTTGCCAGTTAATGTTAGGTCACTTACATTTCCAATGTAATTCACAAGTTTTTCGGTGATTAATTACAAGCTTCATTATTTATATTGATTGGAGATGTTAGAAACAACTGTTCTTCATCATAGACATCTTCACAAATGCTTTAAAATGAAGCATTGTAATAACTGCGACAGTCTTGTTTCTCTCTGTTCTCAGGTATAGGTTGATGAGTCACAATATTTTGAGTTTTATATGAACTTAAATGTCTAAAATAAACCGTTTCGATATTACATTGCTAGGAATTTTTCACCTAAATGAAATTTTATGTGTCTAACAATATCAAAAATATCCTGTTTCTCTTGTTCATTTTCACATATAAATCCAATGTTGCCCTCAATATATTTTTTCTTTTATCCTGATTAAGTCTTTTTACAGCACTTGGGCTATCTTTGTAATATTTCCTCTTTGGACCTTTATTTTCCAGTATTCAATATACAATATTTGTAGCTATTTAGTATGAATTCTGACCAATAGTAAAGTCTTATCTGACAGTGTATTGCCATGCTGCTTTCAGCAGAGATACAGATGTCACATTTCGTATTAAATTGGTACACAACACTACACTACTGGAGGGATAACAGATATTGTATGTATATATGCCTTACATACATACATGTATTTTGCAACTGACTGTATTTTAGATGACCTTGCTCTGAAATGAGTTTAGGAGAAATCATTTTTTGCTGGGAAATCACATTTGTTTGGGCTTTTATTGATTTGTGTAATAGATTTAAATGGGTAAGTTTGTTTTATTGTAACTGGTTACTGAAAGCAGAGACTTACCATTAATTAAAAGCTCTTTTTTAACCAAGTTAATTGAGATTTAATAGCAGTTTCATCAATGCAACAGAAGAGAAAGGTGGTCACTGACGAGACTCACATGTCACAGGAAATTAGTGCTAGTACAAGGCAAAAGGCAGATGAAACTAGTGATTCTGTTTTTGTTTGTACTGATAAAGATGAAAGTTTATGTGAATTCTGTATTTTGTGCCGAATGTTAAACTGCAAATGAGCATTCCCGTACAGAAAAGGGGTCAAGATCAAAGAGGAAGGAAACACGACTTCTAGGAAAAAATCATTTAAGCACTGTTGTTTTTTTGTTCATTGAGTCATGCAACATTCATTGTAATTTAAATTTGGTAAGAGTCCGGCATCCTTATCTACCAGAACTAGATTATTCTATTACTCGTGTACACTAGAAATATTGGTGACCTTAGCCATTGAAATTGAAATTTACCATTTATTTCTTTAATAAAATGTGTCTGTAAAACTGATAAACCTACACGAGTAAGAAATACAAACCAAGAGTGTAAAATATTCTGATGCTATTGTACAGGATTTTATACACTTTTAAATACTGTTCTACAATGAATAAGATGCAAATTTGCATGTACATTGATTGCCATTTGACCACTTTTCTATGTTAATAAACACTATGATCGCATGTTTTTTTTACATAATAAACTATTCCAAATTCAAAGTTCAAATTTTAATTTCTGTTGTTCTGAAACTGTATGAACATATTTCTTCATAAATTTTCAAATTTTGGATCCATACTGATAAATGTAGCATTTACCTTTAATAAGTAAAGTTTTCATAGGTATAAATTCTACTTTACAGCAAATACTTTAAAAATCATCTCTCCATGAACTACATACAGATTGAAAAATCACCCACCAGTAATAACCTCCCTTTTATACCTTATTAACATTATGCTTTTATATAAACAAAATTATTTATAGGAGATAATGAAATTTAAAATAGTTATCATTTTTTTTAAGTTCAATAATTTTGCCATTTTAAGAATTAAATCAACTTCTTTGACTTAAACAATCAATGTTTAATGTTTCCATTTGTTTAAATTTGTTAAATTCCGAACTTCTGAATTCCAGAACTTTCAAATTCAAAACCTTTTGGTTAGTCATACAGGTGTTCGGTTTTCAGAACTTACACTGCACTGTTTATGCCATGATAAAACTATAAATAAAGCCTATAAATGTCTCCAGTTGTTAATTCCCTTCCGCTTAGCGGGAAGGGTATTATAGGAAGGCCTCCGTCTGTCAGTCTGGCGATCTGGCCGTCCGTCTGTCTTTCAGTCCGTAACAATTTTTGTGTCCGCTCTATAACATTTAAAAAGCCGAATCATTTTTGAAATAATTTGGCACAACGGTCAAGTGTTAAATGTCTACATTACGTTGCCGCTCCTTTAATTTAAACCGCTGAATCTATTATATATGGTAGTCTGGAGATGATTATGAAACATTGTCAAGTGAACTTCTACATAGTTGCACTTACACAAGGGTCATGGTTTTCATAATATTTATTTTGTAAAAACTGCAAGGGATAAAAAATAGATCTTTGGTGTGTTACATTGTCTAGTGGGTCTTTACAGAGGACTACTCTAGCACAAAATTATAAGATTTAACCCCTTTGACCTTAGATAGAATCGTCATGAAAAAATGTTAATTTATTCTTCTATATTTCTTTTTGTACCCAATCAAACTTAAAATATAAGTTTCTTATCAACCTCCACATCATATGTGACAAGGGTCATAATTCTAGCACCTATATTATTAGAATCATCATCTATGAACTCAGAAGTTTCATGAAAGTAGCTATTTGTTTTCTAAAACTTCTTTGGTTCTTAAGGTATCTATTTAAAAAATCAAGAATATGTTTCTTATTATCATTCAAATCAAGAGTGGGAAAATTTAATACTCTACCTTGACTTATTCAATAATAATGACCTCCTTGAGCTTTTACTTTTTTAACATAAATTATTTTTTCTTCATTTCATATAGGATTTACTTCAAATTTCAAACTCCCACATTATAATCACATGACAATGTTGGAATGACAAGGAATCTACCCTCCATATATATTTTCAAAATTACTTCCATGTAGACTTTGAATCTTTTCCTTTCTACTCTATATCTTTCTTATTTCTTCATGGATCTGCTTCAACTTTGAAAAATATGATCATTATGAACACCTTAATTTTATTTGATTAGATTTAGCTCTTGGAGTTTCATGACTATTTTCATTATGGACTTGTTATAAAATGTTATAATTTGGTCACAACCAGGGATTTAAAAACATTTGACCTCTGTCTACCAGTCTGTTTGACTGGCCGTCCCAAAAAAACCGATACCTGAGATTACTTTTAAAGAACTTGGAAAGTTTCAAACAATTTTAATTGAATAGAGAAAAGTTGAAACATTAGTTATACATATTAATCAGGAGAAAATTGGATTATTTTATTATCTATTGTATAAACATAATTTCATTTAAGGCATTGAAGCTTAACAAATTACTATTATTCGGAAATGGCAATGCTTAAAAGTTTTAAAGACAGTGGAAGTGACGAAGCGAGAGATAACGAAGAGGATACTGAGATGTGCTCCCATTGTGCTACGGATGGAAAGCTCCAGCCAGCGTTTTACTTCTGCTATGATTGTGGAGTGTTCGGTAGATACATATGTGGCAAATGTTTAATACATCATAATCGAATTGTGAAGAGTCATAAGGTAGAAATGATAAGCAATCAGTCGATGTCACGAGGGTATGTTCCACCATTATGTATTTTATTGTAACAATGCAAGTATTCCTCGAAAAGTAATTGTGTGATATACTGGTCATACTTATATTGTTATTTTGATTCCTCAAAACTATTTTATTTATCCCATTCAGTCCCATCTCACGCTCTATGAGTATTATATAGTTTAATTGATACTCATCGACAAAATAGCAGATATCTTCCAAACCATTTATTACTTATCAAGCATTTAGCTCACCTGAACCCAATGCTTTAGCTATTACTGCCTCCATTGCGTCATTCCTTTTCTTATATCAAGACAGTATAACTTTTCGTTACTGGCAATTGTTATGACTTGTTGGTTAAGTTTGTTATGGGAGGTTATCGGATTTGGCCAGTTATGAGTGTTACATATAGAAGCCATTTACTTTCAATAATAACCAGTGACTTTTATAGCAACCGTTGTTTTTTCTACAATTATTGTGCTTTTTTTAGAATCTGGTATAATCCAAAGCAACCATTGGCTGAAATAATTACCAATGACTAAAATAAGAACAATTTTATGTCATAGCAATATTTTACTCTCCTTATCAACCATTGACTTTCCATAGAAAACATTACACTTTAATTATATGCATTGACTTCCAAAGCAACCATTGTTTTTAAATTGAAACCGGACTTTCCATAGTAACAATTTACGTCTTCTCTTGCAACCAATGACACCCATAGCAAACTTTTACGTTACTCAACAACCTGTCATTTCTACAGGAAATGACACCAAAGCAACCATTGACTTTTCATAGCAACCATTCACCTTCCATTCCAACAATTGTTTTTCATAACAATTAGAATTATTTTGTCCATAGCAACAATTTTCCAACAATTTTTTCTCGTAGCAGTTACCTACTTCTTTGACTTTCCTTATCAGTGACTTTAATAGCAACACTTGACATTCATAAGGAAGAACTGTATTTCATATGACTGACTTTCGATAGCGACTATTGACTTCTATTGCAAACAGTGAATTTCCATCGTAATCAGTGACTTTCCATAGCAAAAGTGATTCTACAATTGACTTTCATAGAAAGAGTTGGAATCCACAAAATCCATTGACTCTAAATTCAGAGATATTTGAACAAATTAAAGCATTCTCAAAATTTAATTTTAGATTAAGAATACGTCTTTGATATCAGTCACTTCAACTGAATGGAAAATATCACTGGATGGTAAATGAAATGAATTGTTATCAAATCTAAATAAAATGTCACAATTATAAAGATTAGGGTATAAGGATGGTAGATCTTAAATTGGACGGTTTGAGGTTTCCAATACATTTAGTTAGGCAGCTGAATCTTTATAAGGCTGTGAGTCTTTATGATTTATTGATACAATAATACCACCAATTATAGTCATGTTATACGGATTTGACTCTAAAAAAGCGATAGAAGATTTTAAGCTTTTGAAAGTTGTTTTGGTTCTACCCACAAGATGTTTAATAAGGAGAAATCAGATGGAGTTTGTTTGACGTATTCTTTTATTTGACTTGCTGGTTGGAATGACGTTTTTTGTCGTTTTACGTTAAACAGGTTGATCAGACAAGTAATACTAGTTATCATGATAATTGTCTTCATTTTCTAACATTATTTAATATTCATTTTTAACGATTAAGGATCATTTTATAAATTTGTATTTTAGAAAATAAACTGCCGTTTCAATGTTTTATTTTAGACAAACATTGGAGACAGACCTTGCAAAAGAGCGAAAGGAAATAGAAGAACTACGCCGCAAACTTGATAACAGTACGAAGCAAATCATTGGCCTTGAAAAAGAATTAAAAGAAATGTATCAGACAAATTTGTTTTTACAGGAAGAATCAATACAACTAAATCAAAGGTATACAATTTTTATGAATAATCTGATAAATTATGTTACAGCTGTTTCAAATCATTTTGTTCAAGGTGTATTCTTTGTAAATGACCAGGTATTGTTTCGTTTGTTTAAAATAATAAGTACATATGAGAATAGTTTTGAATTCAAGAAAATGTTGGTTTTCCACAGATATTTCTTCTTCTGTATATGTGAAAACAGTTTAATTAGATTTTCTTGAATTAAAATGTAAATGTACAAAACATGAACTTTAAATTTGCATTTGGTAGTTGAAGGGGTCAAGAAAGTGTTATAACTATATAAAACGTTTTCCATACCATAAAACTCGAATCATTTGTTAAAGACAACCTGGCGCGCGAATAGGCGGAACACACTGACATCATCTTGCCCCCATTTTGGAGATAAAAACTTGATAATAAATCGTCCACATTAATATAAGTATGTTATTCGTGTATCCCCGTAAAATTAAATGAGATATAATGGTCACTTGTCAATAGAAGCATTTTACCATTACATTTTCATAGGAACCTTTTCCATCAAAATGTCCATAGAAACCTTCAGAGAGCTTTAGAAATATTTACAAATAATTGCAGAAGATTGGCGTAAGGTTGCATATTTACACTTCTGACCACTGATGAGAGAAAGAGAGAGAGAGATTGGCAACATTGTGTATTGTAGTGAATAATAGTTATAGCTTGTCAAACTTCATAAGCATTTGAAACATATAGTACCCCTACGTTTAACATTCGATTGATTTCAACTTTTGTTTTAAGTAAATAAATTAATAAATAACACACACAAAACATAGCTTTTGGTCAAAATTCACAAAATTGATTTCATCAAATAAGGCAGGTTACTTTTAATTGTTAATACCTTATAACTTAGGAAAATAAATGAACATATTCTTAAAACATAGTGCTCATGTGGAGTGTTGCTGTTGTTCAAGTGTTGCCCAATTGTCATGTAAATATTGTTTTTTAAATGAGAGCAGTTTAAGTGCTTATTTGAATTTGATCAACTTTCTAATTTTTAGTCATAATTCTTCTCTTTCAATTAACATTAATCATTTCCTTTTAAATGAGTTATTTAAACCCTATATTAATTGCTTTTAAAAAAAGTAAACCGTGACCATTAAATGATCGAATTTTGAATCTATTTTCGTCACTTTGTCATTCATTTGTGGGAATGATTCATACTTGACAAAACAACAAGTGTAACTAGTCAGGCATATCAAAATTAAGAAAAGGTAACACTATTTCTTTTCTTTAATGTTCTTTTTAATAATTTGTTTTAACCATTTATTTGTTTGCTTTTAGAAAAAATAATAACGTCGAGCATTACCTTCGCCCGGAGGTGGCTCTTGATATTAAATTTTTCATACTTTGTTACATATTAATGGATTTTATTCATTGTTCAAAAGAACACTTAAGACAAAACCAACATGTTGAAAAAATATTACCCTAGTCTTTGGATGACGTTCACTGTCAAAGTGAAATAATTGAATTGTGCTTAAACTGTGATAATGTGTTACATTTTGTATATATATCAGATATGATTTATATTTGGTGAATACATTTATATATGGGACCATGACCAAAAAATGACATTGACAGTCAATGTCATTGATTGAATTTTGCTTGTTTAGATGGAAGGTTTCATTCATGCTGGGACGAAGTAACAGTTTTGGCATCATTTACATGTTGTTTAATTTACATATATCATTGAATTATAAATGTCACCTTGACTCTTTATGCCAAAAGATCACTTTTTAAAGTAAATTCTATGATAATGTTTTAGAAAAAACTTTTACTATAATGAGCCTTCTATGATGTGTACTCGTATTCCTCAAGAAATAAGAACAAGTAGGGCATCTTCTTATTTTGTAATATCACCTATCTTCTCCTGAGCTTCTTGAAATTCTCCAATAAGACGTGGGTATTAATTCAATTGGTTACATATCCAGGAAGGTTCATGAAAAGAATAAAATAATAATTATTATGCTTGTCATGTAGATCAGAGGACACTTTTTATCTTTGTACACAGGGTTATGAAGCTATCTGGTAAGAAATTGCAGGAGAAGAATGCTGATACAGCAGATCTGAATGATCCTAACAGAGCATTGAAGTTGTCAGAGAAGTTTGGCCAGTTATACGATGATGAATGGACTAATGCCTTTGAATGTTTGACTGATAAGAAGATAGGCGTACCATTAAAAGATGCCATAAATGTTCTACTACGCCTTCTTCAAGTAATGTTTTATACTATTTGTATAAACATTGTTCAATAAAATGCTGTTCTAATTAATTCACCAAAACAACACTAGTTGGTATACATTGAAATTGTTTTTCAAAATCCTGTTTAGCCTGTCTGTTTTGAAGACAATTGTGAGCTATTATGATCGCTGTGACATTATATTTGTTGTCATTATCATTGAAACTTAGAGTAAATGCTTCTCATGACGAGTTGCAGATTCTAGACAAGCAGCGTAAGTCTTAAAGCAATATAATTGCAGTTATGTCTCGTGTTGCTTAGAATTTTTAACAGACGAGTTTCAACACCACATGCGTTGCTCTTGTAACTGTTATAGACTGACTTTTTTTGGTCACAATGATAGAGTCAAAAGTTGAGCTGACAGTTGATTTTACTTTTTATGCCACCGCAACATCTGCGATGCCGTGGCATATAGCGATTCACCTGTGTGTGTGTGTGTGTGTTTGTATGTATGTGTGTATGTTTGTGGGTTATATAGATTACATAGTGAACTTAAAATCTTCTTATGAAAAACCACTAGTCCAATTTCAACCAAACTTAGCAGGATTGGTCCTTTGGTGAAGGGCTTTCAAAGTTGTTCAAAGAATTTGATTCCATGAAGATATCTGGTGGCCATGTCAACCAAAAGGAATTATAAGAATAAATTAAAAAAAATCTTCTTGTAAAGACCCACAAGGCCTAGAGCATAGATATTTTGCATAAGTCATTGTCTGGTTGGCCTCTACCAAGATTGTTCAAATTATTGCCCTGTTGGGTAAAAATTGGCCCCCTTCCCGGGGGTCATTGATTTTCACTATATGTACATATAGTTAAATTTAAAACACCTTCTTGTTTGAAGGTACAAGGCTTTGAGCTTAAATATTTGGTATATGACTTCATATATAGGTACTACACCAAAGTTGTTTAAATTTTGCCTTTAACGTCATTATTTAGCCCCGAGCAATGGGTCATAGGTTTTCCTTTTATGTTACTATATAGTAAAAACTTAAGAAATCATCTTCTCGAAATTGACAAAGGCTAGAGGTTAGACATTTTGCATGAAACATTGTGTAGTGAACCTCTACCAAGATAGTTCAAATTATAGCCCTGGGGTCAAAATTGGCCGGGCCCCTGGGGTCATTGATTTTCACTATATGTACATAAAGTAAAAAAAAAATCTTATTGTCTGAAGGTAGAAGGCTAAATAGATATTTGGTATATAATATCATCTACAGGTACTCTACCAAAGTTGTTCAAATTTTGCCTCTAGTGTCAAAATTGCCCCGGGGTCATAGGTTTTTCTTATATGTACATAGTAAAAATTCTTTTATGTTACTATATGGTAAAAACTTAAGAAATCATCTTCTCAAAATTGACAAAGGCTAGAGGTTAGATATTTGGCATGAGACTTTGTGTAGTGAACCTCTACCAAGATTGTTCAAATTATAGCCCTAGGGTCAAAATTGGCCCCTCCCCGGGGGTCATTGATACTCACTATGTACATATAGTAAAATATTAAAAAATCTTATTTTCTGAAGGTACATCTGGCTTAGAGCTTTGATGTTTGCTTAATAATATCATCCATAGGTCCTCTACCAAAGTTGTTCAAAGTTTTCCCTGGTGTCACAATTGGCCCTGCCCGGGGGCATTGATTTTCATTAAGTACACACAGTAAAAACAGATACTTTAACAAATGTTTTTTTGAATTGGAGAAAGTTACAGCTTAGATATTTGACATGAAATGTTGTTTGGTGGACCTGTATCACGAATTAAACCCTTTTAAACCCTCAAAATTTTGCCTTGCCAAAGGGACAGTGACCTTCTTTCTTGTCTTTGATGTGAAGCTATGAAATTTGAACCATGTGCACAGATTAAGATGTAAAGTGAACTTTGATATCAGCTGGCCTAGATTTTGACAAAGTGTCTTACTGTGTTGTCCTTTGATGTACAGTCATGGAATTTTGGCCATGTGAAATATGACCTTCACCACCAAATTCACTAGACTCAACTGCATTGATATATTCCTACTCTTATCTTTTATTTGAATTACAATAGATTTAACCACTGATCTAATAATAAGAATTAGATTGGTCAGTGATCTATGCATTTTGGCAATCTTCATTTGTATAGAAACAAAAAAAAATCTGTTCCTACATTACTATTTAGTGTTGTATTAATGCGGTGGCATAGCATTTTTCACAAATGCAATCTTGTTTGATTTAATAAAAGATTTACACATCATATAGTTTTCATATTATATATATATCTATCTTTGCATTGTTAGGACAGATGTCTGACATGTATGCAACTGACCCTAAATTTAGACAATGATTAATATGTTTTCAGGAATGTTGGACGTTTTGCAATAAACTGGTCGCAGCACAAATGGAAAGTTTACAAAATGTTTTTCTACATCCTGCTCAGAACTTGGCTAATTTTGACCAAAAGAAAACTGTAGGTGTTTTTAAATAATAATTTTTGAAAATTGTTAAATGATAACTGTTAATAAATAGGCAGTTTCCATTTTGAGTGTAAGTAAGTAAGTAAATTAAGTAAAGTAAAGTAAAGTAAGTAAGTAAAGGTTTTATTTATCGAGGCTGCACATTTGGTTTCCCAATCTTTCATGTGAGTCTGTAAGAAAACATAATTTACAATATATACAACTAAAATACTACAATAATATGGAAACAACAATTTGGTACAATTTACATTGAAATTGTCAGAACAAGAAATACATGTTAATATTTACGGTCAATTCATAGCATAACACTTGTGAAAGAAGTACATATTAAATTAGACAAAGTAGGTGTTACATCAAATAATAATATTCAAATCTTTTATAAAATGATTAATTGAATGATGAGAAATACCAGGATGTATATGAAGCTTGAAATTGCTGAACTGTTTCAGATTTTCTTATGTAAAAAGGGATATTATTCCATAATTTAGGGCCAGAGTATACTAGGGATTTTCTGAAAAATTCTTTCTTAGGTCGTGGAATAGCTAGGTCTGAACTTTTTGTAGATCATTGCACTCATGTTTTTGGTGTACAAATTGGAATTAAGTTTGCATGTATTGTGGATATGGTTAACAAATTCAAAACACAAAAATATGGATTCGAAATACCTATAGTAATCCAAAACTGCTAAATTCTATATAATTGATATTAATTGAGCTAATTCTTGGATGACAATTTTTAATGCACCTCAACAATAGCTTAAGCAAAATCTAAAATTTATACATGTTATATATGGAAATAATTAGTTCAGTTAGGCCCAACTGAGCAAAAAGTGCTCAGAGATGAGCTTTTGTGATGGCATTGTCTTTCATCCGTTGCATGTCATCATCTGCATCATCTGCTCCTAAACTACTGATGGATTTTGACCAAATTAATCAGGAACCATCTTTAAGTAGCCCTCTAGAAAAGTTATGTAAATAGTCCCAGTCCAACGCATAATTATGTCACAGAAACATAAATGTTGTCCACAAATTTTAAACTGCTGACTTTGTTTTGAAATAACTTGACAAGTGATCACCATTTGAGACAATGTGCAGAGTGCAATATGATTGGGTTGCTACCCCCAATATCAAGGTACGCCGCCTTTCCTTGTTGATCTTGTTTATCATATTTTACACTTAATGGTCACTTGTTAAAAAGTCTACATTTCATGTTGCTTTATAACTTTTTAACCACTAAAAAAATTGAAATAGCTGGCCTACTTGATCACCATTTTGCGACAAAATGCAGAGCGCAATAATTAGGTTTCTTCCTCCAAGTCAAGGTCAAACCTATTAAAAAGTCTAAATTTCATGTCTGCTTTGTAAGTTTCAAACTGCTGATTTTTAGCTCACCTGAGCATATGCTCAGGGTGAGTTATTAGGATCACTCTTCGTCCGTCGTCCGTTGTCCGTTCACACTTTTAAAACGACATCTCCTCTGAAACCATAAGGCAGATCATAATGAAACTTCACAGGGATGTTCCTTGTGTGAAGCCTTAACAAAGTTGTTCAAAGAATTCCATTCCATGCAGAACTCCGGTTGCCATAACAACCGAAAGAAAAAACTTTAAATATCTTCTTAAAAAAAACCCTAAGAGCTAGAGCTTAGCTATTTGGCATGAAACATCTTCTAGTGAGTGTCTACCAAGTTTGTTCAAATAAAAGCCATGGGGTCAAAATTGGCCCCGCCCCAGGGGGTCATTGATTTTCCCTATATGCATAAAGAAAACTCAAAAAATCTTCTTTTAAAGAACCCAAAGAGCTAGAGCTAAGATATTTAGCATGAAACATCTTCTAATGAGTGTCTACCAAGTTTGTTCAAATAAAAGCCCCGGGGTCAAAATTGGCCCCGCCCCAGGGGGTCATTGGTTTTACCTACATGCATAAAGTAAAAACTTAAAAAATCTTCTTTTAAAGAACTCAAAGAGCTAGAACTAAGATATTTAGCATGAAACATGTTATAATAGGTGTCTACCAAGTTTGTTCAAATAAAAGCCCTGGGGTCAAAATTGGCTGCGCCCCGGAGGTCATTGATTTTTCTTATATGTGTATAGCAAAAACTTAAAAAATCATCTTTGAAAAATCCCAAATAGCTAGAGTTTAGATATTTAGCATGAAACATCTTCTAGTAAGTGTCTACAAAGTTTGTTCAAATAAAAGCCCTGGGTTCAAAACTGGCCCCGCCCCAGGGGTGTCATTGTTTTTAACTATATGTGTATGTATAACTTAAAAAATCTTCATTTAAAAAACCCAATGAGTTTAGCATGAAACATCTTATGGGTGTCTACCAAGTTTGTTCAAATAAAAGCCCTTGGGATAAAATTGGCCCTGCCGGGGTTGGGGGGTGTGGGAGGGGACTTCAGGGCCATCATGACCCTCTTGTTTTTAGATAACTTAGCACAAATGATACAAATGTGCAGAGCTCAATAATTGGGTTGCTACCCCCCAAGGTCAAGGTCACAGTCAAAGGTCAAGTGTAAAAAAGTTGACATTTTGTGTCCACTCCATAATTTTTAAACTGCTGTAAGAGTTTGAAATAACTTGGCACAAGTGAATACCATGATAACACCATGTGCAGAGCACAATCATTGGGTTGCAATCCCAAAGGTCAAGGTGACACTTGAAAGTCAAGTGTTAAAAAGTCTACATTTTGTGTCAGCTCAATAACTTTTAAATTGCTGAATTTTTTTTAATTAACTTAGCATAACTGATCACCATAATGAGACAACGTGCAAAGCACAATAATTGAGTTGCTGCCCTAAAGGTCAAGGTCATACTTAAAGGTCAAATGTTAAAAGTCTACATTTCTCTCGGCTCCATAACTTTTAAACCGCTGAAAACTTTTTTAACAATTTGGCAAAGGTGTTGCCATTATGAGACGAAGTGCAGAGCGCAATAATTAAATTGCTACACCCAAGATCAAGGTCACACCTACAGATAAATGTTAGAAAGTCTACATTTTATGTCGGTCCAAAACATTTAAAATGCTGCAATGTTTTTAAGATTATTTGGCAGAAATGATCACCATTATTACATCATTAATCAAGTCATAGCACTGAAGGTCAGGTTCATACTTAAAGGTCCAGTGTATAAACATCTATTTTTCATATCCGCTCTACAACTTACTGACAATTCAAAGGTTTTAAAATTACTTGGCACAAATGATCCCCACCATGACACAATCTGCAGAGCTCAACATCCAGGTTGCTACCCCCAAGGTCAAGGTTATATGTTCTCCATAACTTTTTGACTTTATGGAAGATTTTAAATAACTTGGCACAAATAATCACCATTGTGAGATTATGTGCTTATGATATGCATGGCACAACATCAAGGTCATAGTTGGTAAAAGGTCAAGAAGTACACATTCATGTTCACTGCCGAAGGGGATTTAGCTGTCCTTCAGACTGCCTTGTTAATTTTATGGAAGATTTTAAATATCTTTGCAGAAATAATCACCATCATGAGACTATGTGATTATGATATGCATACCACAACATCAACGTCATGGTTTGTTAAAGGTCAAGGAGTTCACATTCATGTCCACTGTGAAAGGGGATTTAGCTGTCCTTTAGACTGCCTTGTTTACATAAAAAACTGTATAGTGAAATATCTCCAAGAATAATTTGCTGAGAGCTTAGATACTTAGAATGTAGAATAACCTAAAATCATGCTCCTGGAGTCAAATTGGTTCTTGCCCTGGGGGTCACTTAATTTAATGTAGCATTGCCTAGTAAACATCTACAAATATAATGTAAGTCCAGCCTCTCAGGTAGAGAATGACCCCTCCCTGTGGTTCATTTACTTTTTATAGACTTGTAAAGAAAACCTTTAATCTTCTTCTCTGAAAGAACAATGCCAAGAGTTAAAATATTTGACATGTAAAATCACGTTGATGTCCTCTATATAAATTATATAAATCATGCCCCAGGGTTCAAAATAGACACCACCCAGTTTATATAGACTTGTTTATGAAAATGATTTAAATCTTCTTATGTGAAATTGTGGATACTTAGCATGTGGCATGGTATATCTAAAAAAGTAATGCTCCTTGGATCATTGATAGCCCTGCCCTGGGATTAAATTTAATTGCATGTACCTAGATTTTTGTTTTAAAACTGTCATAAAAAATCATCTTCCCTGAAGCCGTGGGAATAAATTTAATGACATGTACCTAGATTTTTTGTAAAAACACCTTGATATCCTCTACAAAAGTTTAATAACGCATGGGGCCACTTAGTTTATAAAGTCTTGTACAGGAAATTACATTTAAGTTTTCTGTTGTGAAACAAATGCCAAGAGCTCAGACATTTGTCATGTTACAAGCATTGCTTCTACAAAAGTAACAAGTCATGTCCCAGAGGTAAAAAATGGCAACACCCTGGGGATCATTTACTTCACATAGACTTGTTTAATTAAATGTCGTAACAATTTTTTCTCTGCATGAACAATGCACAGAGTTTAGATATTTTGCATCACCTAATGGTCCTCTATAAAAGTTATTATGCTCCCTGAAAAATTTCGGGGGAGCATAATTATAGTCGTCGGGTCGTCCGTCCGTCCGTCAGTCCGTCCGTCCGTACGTACGTCCCGAATTCGTATCCGGCCCATAACTTTGTTATTTGAAGGTCAGGGTCACAGCATGACTTTGCAGCAAAATCGTGTCTGGTCCATAACTTCATTATTTGAAATCGGATTTTAAAACTATTTCACAGAAATGATCACCATATTGAGACGACGTGTCGCGAGCAAATTTGGGTCTCTACCTTGAAGGTCAAGGTCACAGCATGACCTTGCAGCAAAATTTTGTCCGGTCCATAACTTCATTATTTGTAGTCGGATTTTAAAACTACCTCACAGAAATGATCACCTTATTGAGACAATGTGTCGCGCGCAAGAATCGGGTCTCGCTACCTTGAAGGTCAAGGTCACAGTATGACTTTGCAGCAAAATCGTGTCCGGCCCATAACATCGTTATTTGAAGTCGGATTTTACAACTATTTCACAGAAATGATCACCATATTGAGACGACGCGTCGCCCGCAACATTTGAGTCGCTACCTTGAAGGTCAAGGTCACAGCATGACCTTGCAGTAAAATCTTGTTCAGCCCATAATTTCGTGATTTGAAGTTGGATTTTACAACTATTTCACTGAAATGATCACCATATTGAGATGACGTGTCATGCGCATCATTTAGGTCGCTACCTTGAAGGTCAAGGTCACAGCATGACCTTGCAGCAAAATCGTGTCCAGCCCATTTCTTCATTATTTGAAATGGGATTTTAAAACTATTTCACAGAAATGATCACCATATTGAGACGACGTGTGGTGCGCAACATGTGGGTCACTACCTTGAAGGTAAAGGTCACAACACGACCTTGCAGCAAAATTGTGTCCGGCCCATAACTTCATTATTTGTAGTCGGATTTTACAACTATTTCACAGAAATGATCACCATATTGAGACAATGTGTTGCGCGCGCAACATTTGGGTTGTTTTTACACTTTGCACTTTGTCTGTGACATAACTCTGACACTACAAGAGGTATACCTTCCCCTGTCCAAATCCTATTCGGGGAGCATCATCCAGTTCAACCGGCTCTTGTGTAAATCATGCCCTGAAGGTCACTTAGTTTATATAAATCTTCATAGTAGTAATTTCGAATTTACTAGAAAAATATTTTGTGTGGTCCTCTACCTTTGGATGGAGATAGGAGGCTCTTAGATTAAGGTCAGCAGTATTAAAATGTATATCAAACTTTTGCTTTAGCACCTTTTATTCATTGACAGATGTCATTTATTGTCCCCCGCCTTTTCGAAGAAAAAAGGGGGATATAGAAATAGGCTCCGTCCGTCTGTCCGTCCGTCTGTCTGTCCGTCCGTCCGTCTGTCACACTTTCGTGTCCGGTCCATAACTTTGTCATTTATGAAAGGAATTTGAAATAACTTGGCACAAATGTTTATTATAATAAGACGATGTGTCATGCGCAACAACCAGACCCCTACCTCCAGGGTCAAGGTCACACTTGCTCATTCAAGGTCAACATTGCCTATTTGAGGGTATATGTCGTGTCCGGTCTATAACTTTCTTATCTATGAAGGGATTTTGAAAATACTTGCCATAATTGTTCACAATAATCAGACAATGTGTCATGCGCAAAAACCAGTCACCTACCTTCAAGGTCAAGGTCACACTTGGAGGTCAAATATTAACATAGTCTGTTACAGGGTATATTTGGTGTCCGGTCCATATCTTTGTCATTTATCAAAGGAAGTTGAGATAACTTGGCACAAATGTTTGTTATAATAAGACGATGTGTCATGCGCAACAACCAGACCCGTACCTTCAGGGTCAAGGTCGTACTTGCTCATTCAAGGTCAACATTGTCTATTTGAGGGTATATGTCGTGTCCGGTCCATATTTTTCTTATCTATGAAGGACTTTTGTAAATACTTGCTATAATTGTTCACAATAATCAGATGATGTGTCATGCGCAAAAGCCGGTCACCTACATCCAAGGTCAAGGTCACACTTGGAGGTCAAATACTTAAATAGTCTGTTACAGGGTATATTTTTGTGTCTGGTCTATATCGTTTTTTATAGATCAAAGGATTTTGAAAATACTTCGCACAAATAGTCACTATAATAAGAGGATGTGTCATGCGCAACACCTGCATCCCTACCTCGAAGGTCAAGGTCACACTTAGAGGTCAAAAATTAACATAGTCTGTTATAGGATATATTTTTGTGTCGAATCTAGAACTTCTTCATAGTTCAAGGGATTTTGAAATAACTTGGCACAAATAGTCACAATAATACGCCGATATGTCAGGTACAACACCTGCACCCCTACCTCTTAAGGTCAAGGTCACACTTAGAGGTCAAAGGTTAACAGAGTCTGTTATTTGGTATATTTTTGGTCCTGTTTATTACTTCTTCATAGATTAAGGGATTTTGAAAATACTTGGCACAAATAGTCACAATGATTAGATGATATGTCATGCGTAACATCTGTGTCCCTACCTCCAAGGTCAAGGTTAGACTTAGAGGTCAAAGATTTACATAGTCTGTTATAGGGTATATTTTGTGCCCAATCTATAACTTCTTCATAGTTCAAGGGATTTTGAAAATACTTGGCACAAATAGTCTCAATAATAAGACGTTATGTCATGCACAACACCTGCTCCCCTACCTCCAAGGTCAAGGTCACACTTAGAGGTCAAAGCTTAACATGATAGATTTTTAAATTCAGTGTTTCATTTTATTTTTTTAACAAATTTATTGTTACATTTGCAGATCTAGCATTGATCATAATTTTGGACTGAATGTCCTGAGATCCATACCTCAATCTTTTGAAATAGCACAATTTTATGCTTCATATAAAACTCCCGGGGCGGGGGACGTTTGTAACTCTTACAAATTCTTGTATTTTGTAGGTTTGGACTTTTTCAAGTCAAGGTCACACTTGGTCATTACATTAAAAATTTCATGTGCCGATTCCTATTGTCACAGGTTGAGAAAAATGTTCAGCCTTACCGGGACAAGGCTTATACAGGAAAACGTATTATAAAGGAAAACATAATTAATCTTTTTGCATGAAACTACTATGTTCAAGGGTTAAATATTTGGCATGTAGCATTGTCTTGTGAATTTCTACAACGTTGATATAAATCATGCCCCTGAGGTCAATATTGGCTCCACCTCAGGGTCACTTACTTTATATAGACTTGTATAGAAAAGTACTAATGAATTTTTGAAATCTTTACAGGGACTGACTGACAGACCCAGAATTACATCAAAGGACCAGCCATCACTAAACGATCTACGAAAACGGGTTGGAGTATCACCACCTGTCATAGAGGAGGTTAAACAGGTAATGTCAACAGAGCCATTTGATAGTCCATTAAGTGTACAATTCAGATTTGTTGCTGTGAACTTGAAGTTGAAACTGAATTGATCCATCACATGAATTATGTCTCCGCAAATGATGTCATCCATAACATACTCTTGTTGCTGTCTGTCTGTCTGCATTCCCCTTGTTCGGCTGTTACAGGTCAAACTGCTGGCCGGATTTCAGTGAAACTTTACAGGAGAAATCAGTACCATCCATAGTTGTGCATTTCGCTGGCACGTACCGCTTCACTGCACAAAATGGCCACAAGAATGATCAATAGAAAAAACTTGTCCGAATTTCACTGGTCAAATTGATTTCACAGTCCAATCCCAAGTTGTGTATATCGTCCACATGTTCCGCTCCCCTGCACAATATTGCCACCACAGCTATAAATAGAAAAGCCTGGCTTTCACAATGAAACTACACAGAAGTGATCAGTACCATCCCTAATTGTGCATATAACAGGCATGTTTAGCTTTGCTGCACAAGATGGATGCCAGAGCTATGAATAGAAAGATCTTGTCCGGCTTTCAAAGGTCAAACTGCTAATGTGATTTCAATGAAACTTCACATTAGTGATCAGTACCATCCCTAGTTGTACATATTGTGGGCATGTTCCCTCCTCTGCACAAAATGGTCGCAAGAGTTATAAATAGAACAATCTAGTCCGGTTATCACAGGTTGAACTGCCTGTGGGATTACAATGAAACTACACAGATGTGATCAGAACCCTCCCTAGATGTACATGGCACGTTCTGCTTCACTACACAAAATAGCCCCAGAGCTATAAATAGAAATATCTTATATAGCTTTCACAGGTCAAACTGCTGGTAGGATTTTGACCAAAATTCACAGGAGTGATCAGTACCATACATTGTTTTGGGAGACATGTTTTTGTGACATAATCCCCTTCCAGTTAATGTATTGTTTTTTTATGCCCCCGGGCATATAGTAAGTGAACCGTCCGTCCGTCTGTCCGCACGAGGTTAACCTAGAACGGCAAGTTGGATTTTTCTTAAGTACTCCTTGTACCAATGGCTTCTTAGTTTACACACTTACTAATCAATACAAAGTACATGATCTGGTCAAGTTACATAACTATGGTTTCCATATTTACCAAGTTATTGCCCTTTTCAGCACTTAGAAAATGAATAATGGTTAACCTTAAAGGGCAAGTTGGAAATATCTTAAGTTCTATCTATACTTATGGCTTCATAATTTCCACACTTACTTATCAATACAAAGTACATGGTATTGCCAAGTTATATAACTGTGTCATCCATATTTCCCAGATATTTCCCATTTTTCACTTTGAAAATAGGGCCTGTCTGGTTAACATATTACGGCAAGTTGGATTTATCATAAATTTCTCTTAATTGCTTAATTTATTTAATGATATCTTGCATATTTGGTAGTTGGATACCTTTGATGGTCCTCTAATTTTTTGTGGAGTAAGTGGTCTCTAGGGTCAAGGTCAAGGTCACTGGATTAGAAAATAAATTTAAACATTTTTGCTCATACAGCCTTTATTTTTTTGGTTGATGTCTTTCATGTTTAATACAACCATGCTGAGGGAGGTCCTCCTTCCTTGGGTATAGTAAGGGGTCATTTAAGTCAAGGTCAATGTCACCAATGTCAAGGTCACCAATGTTAAAAAAAGATTTTTACTGGTGTATTAACCATATTCTATAGAGAGATGTCATTTATAATTGATAGGAACATAAAATTTGATGGAGTTAGTGGTCAGTTGGGTTAAGGTCACCAGTGCTAAAAATAGATTTTTACACTTTTGCTCATACAGCCTTTATTTATTGACAGATATATTTCATATTTGGTAGGAAGATTACTTGCATGGTATTCATCCTTTTGATTAAGGTAGGGATCAGTGGGTCAAGGTCACTTGTGCTAAAAATAGATTTTTACACATTTGCCCATACAGCCTTTATTTATTGACAGGTGTATTTCATATTTGACAGGAAGATACTTTGCATGGTATTCTTCCTTTTGATTGAGTTAGAGATCAGTGTGTCAAGGTCAATAGTGCTAAAAATAGATTTTTACACTTTGCCCATAAAAGCCTTTATTTATTGACAGGTATATTTCATATTCGGTAGGAAGATTACTTGCATGTTATTCTTACTTTGGATTGAGTTAGGGGTCAGTTGGGTCAAGGTCATAGATTTTTACACTTTTGCCCATACAGCCTTTATTTATTGACAGATTTATTTCATATTTGGTTGGAAGATAACTTGCATGGTATTTTTCCTTTGGATGGAGTTACGGGTCAGTTTGATCAAGGTCATCTATGCTCAAAATAGATTTTAACATTTTTGCCCATACAGCCTTTATTTATTGACAGGTGTATTTCGTATTTGGTAGGATGATATTCTATAGGTGTCAGTGGGTCAAGGTCAAGGGTGATAAGTATAGATTTCTTACATTTATATATATTTGATAAAAATGAATATTTATATAGCAATGACTTGGCAACTTATATATTACACAATTACAAAATGCCATGACTCTGTCAAGCTATACAACTTGTGTTTACAATTTTTGGGCAATGTTTCTGTCCATAACTGAGTGAATGGGTAAACATTTTTTGAAATATTGCTACTGACAAGAATCGGAGCTGGGGGCATTTGTGTTAAACAAACACGTTCTTGTTAATCATTCATTTGGAGAGGTTTCATTAGACTGGAATGATAAATTGAAATAATTGTTGAAGCCTAATAATTAAAATCTCCCTTAATCCTTAAAAGACATGAAATTGGCATATGTTTTTGTGACAAAAACCCCTTCTAGTTAATGTATTGTTTTCATTATTCATGTGAATGAAATGATGAATTGAAATGTTTGTTTCAGTATAATAATTAAAAACTCCTGTTATCTTTAAAAGACATGAAATAGACATCAATAGCCTAGTGGTTAACTCGGACTTCAAATCACTTGCCCATTAATACTGTGGGTTAGAATCTCATCAGAGACTTTGGATTGTTTCTTGTTAGGAAGATGTCCAGCTACCTTACAGAAGATAAGTGGTTCTACTCAGGTGCCTGAAATAAAGCACAAAGGGACACATGAGTTCTTCAACATATTATATTCATCAGTTAAGCTGGAATGTCCATATGACCTTTACAGTGTCCGTCAGTCTAAAAGAGAAAACAAGATGTATAATATGCTGGATTGATATTTCCACATTTATGAAAGGTTTTTGTTAAGTTTATTTCAATATTCCATTGGACCAAATGGTCAATGAGAATAAACAGATACATGATACATGACAAGACAGTGTAAAGCATATACATAACATGTGTAAGTGGAGAATGTATACACAAAATTGTATATCATCAATTAAAATGAACATCAGAACAAAAGGACGTTCAATTTAACCTAATGTTAAATAAATCACCACTGTCTAGCAAAACTTACAGAGAAGTGAACTTCATACATTGTATTGAATTTATTTGATAAGGTACATGTATATATATAATGCATCATATAAATTTATATTCATATTTGCTTGAGTATGTGTATAATCAAACATAACCATTTGTCGGTAAATTGAGATATAGAATGTGAATCAATTTAAAAAATTAAATGAATTTGACAAAAACTCGGATGTATATACTGTATCATATAAAATTATATTTATACTTGTTCGAGTACATGTATGTTGTTCTTGCCTAAACAAAACACAAGAACAACATAACCATTAGTCAGTAAATTTAGCTATAGAGAGTGGTTCGATTTAAAAAGGATCATTTAGCTATACATTTACAAATATATATCCTTGACATGTATATCTTCTAAACTAAAGCATTCACTAATTCAAAATTATTAAGCCTAAAAATTAAGGGATGCATTTACATATATATTATTGACATAATTATCCATTTCACACAAATTTTACTTATTAAAAACAAATAAATATAATTAACTTAACAATAATGACTACTAATCATTTGTGTATAATCTTTCTTTTCTTAGTGTAAAAGCATTGTTTACAAATTTTCCTAATTTACGTAATGTGCATACATTTTCAGAATTTTATAATTCAATGAATTTTGGCATATTTGGACGTCTTCAGTAATAACATTTGCAAATTTTGAAACTACATAGTGTCTATCAGCCAGTTGGCTGATCAACTTCCAAATGTCATTGTGTTTCCTCTTAGATAGATGTCTGATGATGGGCTGTTTTAAAATGTACATTGACATGCCCTATTGTGGACAATGAGCAAGTTTATATTACCTCTAGCATTAAAAATCATGTAGCCATATTTTTCTGCTACAGAATTTGTTTTTCTTTTCCGTTGATTTTTAAACAATATTTGAATAAGAAGATGCTAAAAAGTTCTTGAAATTTAATTTCGTTATAGGCATTACTTGCAGACTCTAAGACATGGGATAAAAGGGAGAAAAAGGAATTTGATAAGAAGCATATAGAAGCCTGTACACCTTATCTACAGACATGTGCTGAGGTTTGCTGGCTTATGGCTCTGCATGACCCTCCTTTGGTAATGAAAATGGATGTCAAACAAGGCGAGAAGATTGATACGAATATCTATACAGTGTATAGTCAGTCTGGACAAACAATCGATTTTTTGGTTTGGCCACCACTTTATAATGGTAGAGATGGTGGACTTCTGTCTAAAGGTGTAGCCGAACCAGTAAAAGTTGTAAGCAAGAAGAAATGAATATTTTTTGACTTGTATTTAGCTTATGTAGTTTATGTATGTTCTGAAAGATAAGGGATAGAGTATATCTAAATGATATTCTAATATAATTTTTTTTGCAGTTTTGCTGAATTTTCTTAAATTCTGGTTGGACATTTTGTTTGAAACCAGGACAATTATACAATATACGTTATCTATTATAACCCCCACACACATAATTTGGTGGAAACTATACTGGAATCACTTTGCAAGTTGGCAGTCAATCGATCATTCTCCATTGTTACGACTTTACAAATCCTTTACCCTTTTAAACTTGGCCCAAATTCACACCTCAGCTTAAGCAATTTGCAGAACCCATGACACCGCAGTGTTAGTTCAAGGTCAGTGTCACCCTTAAATGTCATCGGTAAAAAATCGTACATTTTAGAGTCTCCTCTATAAATCATGTACCCTTGAAGGATTTTCTTTAAACTTAGGTCAGCTGTTACCTCAATGAGGAATTGTGCAGAATCCATGCTGCCATTGTACAAGGTCAAGGTCACCATTAAAGGTCAAAGGTTTTTGTCCACTTTATAAATCCTATACCAGTTGAAGGATTTTCTTAAAATTTATCTCAAATGTTATCCTCCACTAGGCAATGTGCGGTTCTCTATGACACTGCTGTGCATACCTAAGGTCATATTTACCATTTAAGGTCAAAGTTTTACATTTTGTGTCTACACTATAGATTCTATACCTTTCAAATATTTTTTTGTTCCTGTCTCAGCTGAAATGTTTTTTTTTTCAATAATAATAATACATTCAATGCATAATATCCTGTCATAGAAGTTAGGTGGGGTATTTTTCAGTCCTGTGACAGCTCTCGTATGTAGATGTCACATAAATTGTATATTGCTGTATATGATAAAATATATATAAACATTTGTAATGATGTTAAATAAACATTGTTCTTTATGATTTACATATTACAATGTTCAGAGATAGAATTCAGATGCCTCCAGATTCATGCCAATTTAAAATGTATGTAAATGTATCATGTTGTGAACAAAGAAAATAATTTACACATTACACATAACACTTCAATCTACTTATAATAAATTAACAGAGGTCAAAATTTTAAAATAGCCCTTTCTGTGTTAGTCAGGCATTAGAAAAATGGTGACAAATTTGAAATACTTCAAAATCAGTCACTAATCTCACACAACATGTAGATATATTTTTGAATCTTTTTACTTTTCCTAAAGTCTTAGTACACTTCTTTTTCTTAAGATTGTTTTTTTTTAAAATATTTTGGCTCATCTGGAGGCGTGCAGCTTTAAAACACTTGTATTGACTTTGTATCAAAGTAAGACAAGACACTGACAGCATCTTTACAAACAGAAATTGCTTCACGGTAGGTTTTATGTGTGTTATATTATGATTAGTGATTTGCTGTATTGCAAGGTTTGCATTTTTTTTGTCATGGTTTGCCCCATTAACCATTACATGTCCACATTTTCCTTACAACAAAATTTTTAAATAAATAGGTGAGGTGTCAGTGACCTTGAGGTAAAAATCATTGATTTAAAATTACTTGCCCCTCACCGCATTAGGTTCATTGTGTATTTTTTTCGCATGCGAGGAAGCCCTCCAGCTAGTTCCAGCTAGTTAAAGGTATGTTGGCAATTTTACTTATGCGCCTGCTTGTGCCAGAAATATTGCATGGAAAACCACATGTTGTCTTCCCACACCAGTAAGCTGAATTGAGTTATACTGTTTGATGAGACATTAAACTTACCCGTGGTCCCCCAAAGGAAATGAAATAAAATAAGAATAAAAAATAGATACATGAAATAAATTAATAAAATGTAAGAAAAGGAACACAAGGCATGACAACACGGAAGTGATTTTTCTTAATGCCCCTTTGTGTTTTATGAAAGGAAGGCACAGGCAGGCACCTTCGAACAACCACAACCTTCCGTCTTAAGGTCTTCTTTCGCTAGAATTGTGCCACACAAACCATGTTGTGGTAACATATGATAAAAGAATTCCCCACTTTTAATGAAATGAATGCCCTTGTCTTCCTAGGTTAAGCAAAATATTAATGAGAAAATGAAGTCAATATTTTTTTTCAACTCGAACTGTGTTTGTGGTCCATGATGACTTAAGCTTGTCTTGAAAACAATATTGTCCAATTGTATTTTATTCACCAATATTTAGTTGAAAGTAAACGCTATAATGTTAAAGTAGCATAGTCATGAAATTTTTGAAAATGTATGTAGTTGTGAAGTATCGGGTAGTATACAAAGAAAGTAATACACTTTGCAAACATCACTGAAATCTATGTAAATTACAAAACAAAGATGTCAAAATACTCAACAATAACCCTTACTGCATCAGTCACGTGATAAATACTGTAAAATCTGTAATTAATGACACATGTAGTTGTTACTTGACACTTGAATTGCTTTTATTTTCTAAGTACATTTTTTTCTCTAGTTTGATTTTTAAAGTAAAAATATTTGGCTCATGTTGAGGCATGCAGCTTCAATGGAAACAGTGTTATACTTGTTTGACGTATTGGGATTAATTGATTTTTGTACGTGTTTGCATCAGGTCACAACCATCCATGTAATAAGCATTCACAGCTATTCATAAACATATATTCTTTTTATTGGTATTTTTAAAGATTGTTATTGATGGTATGATTTGGTTTACAACAGCATCATATTCTATGTGTATGTTAGAAATGAATTTTATATCTGTATATCTGTTTGACGATAAATAAAACGATCATATTGCGCTTCTAATAGCAATTAATGAAAATAATTAACTTTGTGGATTCTTTTGGCAGATGGCTGCTCTATAACTTTTTGCAATCATTTTATTAAAAGTTGAAAGAAATTTCTTTGTCTAAGTCTTAGAAATTTATTTTGTTGTATCATCTTTGTAAACACATAGTCAGTAATAGTGAATAAATTGATGGTCTCTCTAATTAAATTTTTAATCTGTGCTCGCTAAAAATGTTTCAGATCTTGTTCTAACATTGTTGAGATCACTATGAATAACAAAAACTTTTTCCAAGGAACACAATCAAGGAACACTTACATTTGATTTTAAATAAGTTCAACTACATTGTATGTATAATTAATGTGAGGAATGCTAATTAGTAATATCCATAACGTTAAAAGGTTGTTTGATTTTATGGTTTTTCTAAAATTAAGTGATAACCAATGTATAACAAAATCATCAATGGTTACACAGAATACAATTTATGTTTTCTATTTGTATAATAAATATGCTGAAATAACATGTGTTTGGTTCTTTCCATTTATAAATCATTTTATTTGTCTTACCCATTTTAGATAATTTTTTTGACCTATTGCTACACTGTACAGTAAGGCTTCATTAATGTTTATCAAGAAAATTTAACATTGGCCAATTTTTATTTTTGTTAATGAATTGTCTTTTTTACTGGACACAACAATCCTGTGTACAAGTAAACCAAACTGAATTTGTCATAAAATGATCATGACCTTCAAAAATTTGCTTGATTTCTGAGATAAAAAGCTTTAACTTTGATAGTTTTGATAAAATGGATTGTTTTCATATTTGAACACAACAATTCTTTTACAAGACCATGGGTAATGCATTACCTCCACTTTGAAGAGTATTCAAATAGACTAGAATCGCTTGCAAACTACACTGAAATTGAGGGGCGTGGGTTCAAACCGCAGAAGGGCCACCTTTTATCTTCTTTTTTTACATTATTTATGTATCTCTTTGATCCCTTATGGAAGAAAAAAAAAGTTTGATTTTAATTATATAATTATTGTAGGTATTTATTTGCTAAAAAATGCCAAAATTTATAGCAAATATGATACCAGGTATTTTCAAAGTTTAATAAAATAAAAACTACATGGTAAAAGTATTTTATATTTTGCATGATCAACCAATATACCTTTAAGACAATTTAGGCAAACTTTGAAAACAGCCCCTCATTATGGTAAATTTTAGGAACAGTTTGAATAAGGCATTTTAGATAGGGAAATGGTAAAATTAGTGTTTAAAGTGGGTGGGGTAGGGTAACATTTTTATACATATTAAGAACATTTTGTTTAGAAACAAACATTTTGCTTGTGTAATTTGTTACCTGAATGTTATTATTTGTTTCTTAACAATGGGCAATAGAAAAACATTTTTTATAATGATGATATTACAGATTATTTAGAGTTTCCTCATTTCTGAAAATAAGCCCTTCTAATGGCAAAGTCTTAGTTCAGAAATATATCCATAACTCATAAACCACACGGTAAATTTTATTTAAATTTTGCATACAGGTGACATTGAAGACATATAACTGTCCTATGTTGTCAATTTTACAGTTCCTTAAGGTTCCCATTACCCATGGTCTTCCTTAATTATGATCTTCTCAATGGCTTTGATCTTGAAGGTCAAATTAATGATTTTGTCGTGATTTGAACAATATTTTGCAGTTTCTTTGTATATATAAATGGATTGTCTTCATACTTAACCAAAACTAACTTCAGGACAATGTCTTGAAAAATAAATCACGATATGACCTTGACCTATAAATTATCTTCATATTGAAGGTCAAAATATTGTAATTTCTTAGGTTCGTTTTTGCTTAAATTGGCTATACTTTGTAATTAATTCATACATTGTCGTCATACTTGTGCACAGCAATCTTTGGGACAAGAAATTAAAGAAGGTTTACAAACTTCGTAAGATTTTGGGTCATGGTAATTTTTCTGCTGTTTTTACTAAAATCATTAAACGTTTTATTAAAAGAGGTTATGACCCTACTATTTTAAGACATACTGCATGTTTAGTGTTCAACCCTTTTACAGTTGGACACTACGCTTTCCTCTTTTGATTGCATCTGACGGACCAAGTGGGAGACTCTATGATGGATAGTTCGTAAAGCCCTTTGGGACTGAATTGTCTTAATGTTCGTCTTCTGCCTTGCTTCGTCGGGCCCTTGTAGGTGATTTTCTTGTTGCTCTGTCTTCCTTTAGGACATTGAGTACTTTTGTTATGGTCATTTGGTTTACTTTTATATGTTTCTACATGATCATTTTAGTGTTTTACTTATTTAACCTTTTGTAACCATGACAACTGTTAGAATTTCACTTGGCGGGGATTCATTTTATTTACACTGTCTCGTTTATAGGAACATGTTGGGGCTAAGAGCGAGGTTTGGTGCACCATTAACCGGTTTAAACTCCCCAGCAGTCATTATTATGCTGCTGACCGTTCCAAGGCGGCACCCCACTGTGTTCCTCAGTTGTATGTCTTATGTTGTTTCATACTGTTTTGGTGACACTTTTGCTTGTGTCCCTTGTTGTTTTCTCGTCTACGGTAAGTATCTTCCCCATTGCCTCTAGTTTTTATTTCTTTGATTACTCCCCACCCCCTCCCCCCGGTCTCCTGTCCCCTTCCCCTTTGTGGGCCTATTTTTATTTTCTTTGAATTCCTAATCAGTTACAAATAAATTATAATTTAATGATTAACCTGTCCGTGCTCTGTCCTGTTTTTGTTTGGGGTCCCCCTGGGCTCCTTGCCATTGGTTCTTGTTGCTGGGTCATGTGGGGGTTGCGTTCATTGAACGCCGCCTTTCCTTGTTGATCTTGTTTATCATATTTTAATTGAACATACTTGGACAAAACATTTGTCAAAACAGATTCAAATATGACATTGATGAGTCTATGACTTCGATTGTCATCAATGTCAATTAATGAATTTTGCCTTCATTTTTAATAAGCTTGGTATTACTTTACGGATTTTTTGTATTATAGCAAAACTGACATTTTAATAATTCAGATATGAGCATAACCTTCAAATAGCATTGACTGTGAAAATCAAACTATTTAATATTGCTTTAAGGTATGACAATCTTAATGCATTATCTCTGTGTTGAGGAGTATTTAAATAAGCTAGTACTACCGTAAAATACATTGAAATTTAGGAACGTGGGTTCAAACCCCAGAAGGTCCAACTTTTTTGTTTTACTTTTTTTTCAAAACTAGATACTAAAAGTATTAAACATTTAACAAGATCAACAACTATACATTTGAGTAAATTTAGGGAAACTTAGAAACAGGCACTGTTTTTTCGTTAATTTTAGGGGTTATTTAAAAAAAGCTCTTAAAGTAGGAAATTGGTCAAAAACGTGTTAAAAATGGGTGTGGTGGGGTAACATTTTTTTTACTTATTTCATAAAGTTTGAGTAGAAACAATCATATTGCTTATCTGAATTGTTAGCTGAATGTTTCTCACCAAAAATTAATGCAAACTACGTTTTCTTAAGGATGATATTGTAGATTATTTAAAGGTTCTTTATTTCTGAAAAAAAAGGCACATTAAATTCAGAAAAATAGCCATAACTCGATTTCTGTACGGTAAAGTTTGTTTAAATGTTGCATACAAGTGTCCTTTAAGGTATATATCTGACCTATGATTTCAATTTTCAGTTCCTTATAGTGCCCGTTAGGATGGTCATACCTTAATTGTCATAACTTTGTTATTAATTTACGAATATATCATTCTTGGAACACTCTTGAGATGCCTTCGTTTCAAATGAGTAAATATGACCCTGTCCTTTAAATGGTATTGATTGTTCAGGTCTGATAATGAATTTTGATAAAATTAATAACTTCCTTCTTAATTTAAGGACATATAAAGATCAAAATCGGAATGTTAACTAATTAAAATATGACATTGAAATTTAATCGAGGTCAATTTATGTGTTTATTGTTTTAATTTTCTTACTGTTTTCCTGAGCGGATTAGACAATATACTTCTGGCAAAAATGACCCGTTAAAATATTTTTTCAAGCTTGAGTTATGCCTCAAAATATCCTTGACGGTCATATTGAGTTTTTCGGTTTTTAGCTCACATGTCACAAAGTGACAGGGTGAGCTTTTGCGATCGCTTTTCGTCCGTCGTCCGTCCGTCCGTCCGTCGTCCGTAAACTTTTACTTTAAATGACATCTCCTCATAAACCACTTGGCCAATTTCATCCAAACTTCACAGGAATGTTTCTTTGGTGGTCACCTTTAAAAATTGTTCAAAAAATTTAATTCCATGCAGAACTCTGGTTGCCATGGCAATCGAAAGAAAAAACTTTAAATATCTTCTTTTAAAAAAACCCTAAGAGCTAGAGCTTAGATATTTGGCATGAAACATTTTCTAGTAAGTGTCTACCAAGTTTGTTCAAATAAAAGCCCTGGAGTCAAAATTGGCCCCGCCCCAGGGGGTCATTGATTTTCCCTATATGCATATAGTAAAAACTTAACAAAATCTTCTTTTAAAGAACCCAAAGAGCTAGAGCTAAGATATTAAGCATGAAACATGTTCTAATGAGTGTCTACCAAGTTTGTTCAAATAAAAGACCTGGGGTCTAAATTGGCCCCGCCCCAGGGGGCATTGATTTTCCCCATATGCATATAGTAAAAACTTAAAAACTCTTCTTTTAAAGAACCCAAAGAGCTAGAGCTAAGATATTTAGCATGAAACATGTTCTAATGAGTGTCTACCAAGTTTGTTCAAATAAAATCCCTGGGGTCCAAATTGGCCCCGCCCCAGGGGGTCATTGATTTTCCCTATATGCATATAGTAAAAACTTTAAAAATCGTCTTTTAAAGAACTCAAAGAGCTAGAGCTAAGATATTTAGCATCAAACATGTTCTAATGGGTGTCTTCCAAGTTGTTCAAATAAAAGCCCTGGGGTCAAAATTGGCCCCGCCCCAGGGGTCATTGATTTTCCTAATATGTGTATAGCAAAAACTTAAAAATCTTCTTTGAAAAAACCCAAATAGCTAGAGTTTAGATTTTAAGCATTAAACATCTTCTAGTGAATGTCTACAAAGTTTGTTCAAATAAAAGACCTGGGGTCAAAACTGGCCCCGCCCCAGGGGTGTCATTGTTTTTAACTATATGTGTATAGTAAAAACTTAAAAAAATCTTCTTTTAAAAAGCCCAATGAGCTAGAGCTAAGATGTTTAGCATGAAACATCTTCTTATGGGTGTCTACCAAGTTTGTTCAAATAAAAGCCCTGGGGTCAAAATTGGCCCCGCCCCAGGGGGTCATTGATTCTCCCTATATGTATGTAGTAAAAACTTAAAAAATCTTCCTTTAAAGAACTCAAAGAGCAAGAGCTAAGATATTTAGCATCAAACATGTTCTAAAAGGTGTCTACCAAGTTTGTTAAAATAAAAGCCCTGGGGTCAAAATTGGCCCCGCCCCGGGGGTCATTGGTTTTCCTTATATGTGTATAGCAAAATCTTAAAAAATCTTCTTTGAAAAAACCCAAATAGATAGAGTTAAGATATTAAGCATGAAACATCTTCTAGTAAGTGTCTACAAAGTTTGTTCAAATAAAAGCCCTGGGGTCAAAACTGGCCCCGCCCCAGGGGTGTCATTGTTTTTAACTGTATGTGTATAGTATAAACTTAAAAAAATCTTCTTTTAAAAAGCCCAATGAGCTAGAGCTTAGATGTTTAGCATGAAACATCTTCTTATGGGTGTGTGGGGTTGGGGATATATACAGGTGAGCGACCTCAGGGCCATCATGGGCCTCTTGTTTTTTAATCTTGTTAAAATAGTCATAACTTTGTCATTAATAATAATAGTCATTTATGATTCATATACATAATAAACCGACATGTTGGCTATCAAATTTTGATCTTGATTGGTAAACGACTTCGACTGTCAATTTTAATTAATTGAATTTTAAACATGCAAAAAAAAAAACCCCATACTACAACATTTTTCATCTGATTTTAATCAGAAAAAGATCAAGTTCAGTACTTAATCCTTTATAACTAAGGCTTACTCTATCGCCAATGCTTGCAGTTCACTGAACTCTAACCAACACACAATAAGTTTACTTTCTAACATTTCATGTTATTTTGAGATATTTCAACTGAAATCGCTTTAAAAAATTAAACATTTCAAGCTCCCCATATTTCTGCACCATGTAATATTGCGTACATGAAACAGTGTACACTGTACGAAACACGCAATGTTAATATATAGTATAAGCCTTAATACTGCACTGCCAAACGGAACCGATTTTGTAGCTTGAATTCGCACAAACACCAGCGTTTCCGCATTAACATTGATAAAATGTATCTTTGAAAGTCAAACTTTAATTACTGCCATTTAATTATATTAAACAATTCCTTCACTGGCATTGGCTTTATATTCATATATACAGTCGAGTGAAAATAGACGAATCTATCGTCGTCAAATATATTTTCGCCTCTATCAAAATCAAAAATGTACGGTTATGGAAATCGGAACGTCCTCGGCTATTATTGTTATCCTTATCGGACACAATAGTATGAATACACAGAACGGATGCGGTATTTCTGTCTAACTTACGCTAAGCACTAAACATGTAATAGTGTTGGGAATTGTTCATTTCCAATATATGTAGTAAAATTCCACCTAAAAATAAGTGAATTCATAGATTCAAAAGCAAACAAAACATTATTTGTGTATTTATTATTACGGTTGTAGAAACCAAACGTACAAAAAAACAACCTGTTGACATTCAGTCGGATTTGTTAAAATTGTACATCAGTGGGCATATTTAAATTACTAATAGTTGTCACTCAGAGATATTTTCAATCATAAGTGAACCGACTTTTCTTTTGGATGTCAAATATATACATTCGTTTTACATTATCTCTGTTTCTGTTTACATCTGAAACTACTTTCAATCCGTATTGTTTCCGAGGTTATTATAGATAATAGCCGAGGCAGTTCCGAATGGCAGTTCTAGGATTGATCCGAAGACTGACGGAAAGGGCCGAAAAGTTGCGATTGCTGGAACGGTAGTTGGAGGAGATAGAACGGATATTTCTCATATTGTATGGATATTTACTTCCTTATTGAACCGCCTAGGCACTTACCAAGGTATTGAAAATTATTTTCTCATGATTGTATAAATAATAATAGATTTTTATATATGACTCAATGTTATAATTGTCAATGTCATTATCTTTATTATATTGTTAACACCAATTAAGAATTACTTTCCTCCTTTAGAATGTCGGTTATCGAAACAGAAACTAACTTAAAAAAAACAAAATTATAATAAACCCTGAATAGCTGTTTATTCGTGGGAAAAAGTCAGGTCATCTTAACCAGAATGTATTAATTAATCATTAATGTAACTGTCTATCTGTCTGTCTGTCTTTCCGTCTAACATTTAGTCCGGAGTCTAATTCGAAAAAAAATTAAGTTATGAACTTATTAATAACTTCATCAGCGGATGGATAATATTTACTCGTAGAAGGAGTGCAGTGAATGATAACTACTATTTATAATTAATCTAAAACTATTTTAGATATCAACTTGAAACTTCCTAAGTAGACAAATTTAATGACAATCGTGACTTGTCGGAAACATCCACCAAACCCCGAACAATAATATGTATAGTATGAATTATCGGTATTTCGGTCTTACCTCCACTAAAAACTAAAATAAAGTTTCCTTTTAAAAGGAATTTAGGCTTGCCCAGTTGTGCCCTCATCACATCCCTTTAAAAATGTTTTTTCTTGAAAACCCTTCTAAATTAACCCTTTATGATAAAGAAATAATTATAAAAAAGTAATAATAAATTAACTTTATTTACCAGTTAAAAAAAAGGTACCTATGTTTTACAGGTAAATAGGGCCAATTTATTATCACTATTTTTTTAAATTATTTGTATAACATAAATGTTTGATTAGGAATTTTTCGAAAAAAAAGTTTCACTTTTAAAAGGGTAGGTAGGGTAGCCCCAAGACTGGACCTGCACCTGTGCCCATTTGTGCCACTAGTGTTATTCATGCAAATTTGGACAAAAAAAAAGGACAGAAGTCTACTGATTATTACTGAACCGGAACATGCTGACGATAACAGTAACAACTTTTTTTTGTAAACACGAATATTTTTTTTTCAAAAACGAGTTGAAATATATTCTCTATTGTATAAAACTAATAAAGAAAATAATCAATCGTAAAAATACTAACATAGGCTCTCCCGCGTGGAGAAAATAAAAGTATCTATCTATCATACTGAAGGGAAACAAGTGCTAATTTCATTTAAATAGCAGCTTTATAGACATGTAAATGCACTTAAAGACTTCGTTACGTGGCACTTATTAATATGCATGAATCAACCATGTTACACCTAAAATATCTATGTCAATTGTCTATTTATCACAGATATAACGACAACAAAGGATGCGCTATCTGTAGATCAGCACCTGGTAAGGTAAATGATATGCATGGGCTATTTTTAGATTACAGATCACCAAGTTACTTTTGCGTCTTGAAAACGAATTGAAATGGAACATTTTTGTTAATAATTTATTTCTTCCTTCTATTTACGCTTTAAACCGATAAATCAAGTAAAATAGAAATCCTATTTATAGACACAAACTGCGATTACCGAAGTAACTAAAATAGCTTAGATTTGATTCCGCAATATTACGGAATTGCCCGAATTGTCACGATTGCAGCGGAAACCTAGACTGGTTTCCTCTTCCATCATGCACTAACAAACGTAAGCAGGAATCCACCTAACCGGAACAAATTTTTCAAAACAAATGGCTTATTATTGTATTAAGCTAGTGTATTTCATTATTGCGTGCAGAGATGTAGATAGCATATCTATGTAGAAATCCATTTTCAAAGAGTAATTTTACACTATGAAGTCGAAATGATATTCTTTATAAACGAAAAAAACTAAAAACAGTAACCTGTTAACGAAAGTTTAAATTTGGTTATAATTGACATATTTTTCAATTATAATGTTACCTAAATAAATTTTGTATTTTCTTTGGATGTAAAATAAATACATTCGCCATACATAATGCAAATATTTCACAGTCTGTAATTGTTTACATTAAAGATTTCGTGGTAGAATTATTTTGAATCCGTTTTTACGTTATGGAAATAATGTATAATAGGCGACGTATTCCGAATGCTTTCATAAAGGAGGTGTGCATTATGCAGTCCAGTGATCACATTACACTTCCAAAATTTAGAATAATCCACTTTTGTAATTTCTTATGCTTAATTTTGTCTGGATCATAACTCGTAAAATATTTGAGTTGTCAATCATAAATTCAAGAGGAGTGCAGTTAACAAGTAAACACTTTTACCGTAATATTTTTTTTTCAAGTTTTGCCCTCAACATAATTTTTGTCAGAATCATATAAGGAACCAACTTCAATCTTCATAAGATGATAGGTCTCTCTGCGGATAATATAAGTACAGAGCTTAAGAAAAATGACTCCATACTTCAGAAGTAATTGTCCTTGTAAACAACAATTTTTCACTGCTAATGTTTAATTATTGCCATACATATCAATTTAATTGTGACATTTTGGCCCGGTGACCTACTTTTGTCAATAGAGCTACAGCTTTGAAATTTGGATCGGGTGCAAAATTTCTTATGTAGATCAAGAGTTATACATTAACCTAGTGACTTACTATTTTGTATGAATTTCTATTAACAACGACAGTCTCAGTTGAAGATTTTAACTTTGATATCAGATGGCTTACTTTTTTACCCAGTGTATTACTTTTAAGCTCACCTGAGCATTTTATGTCTTGAGCAGACTTTTTCACTTAGCTAGATTTGAAAATAAAACCAATAAACAAACAAAAACCTTGTACCTTGATCATAACTTTTTAAGTTCTTAGTGTATTGTCTTCACACTTGGTCACAACAAGTCTTGGGACAATATCTTTACGTAGTCTAGACTAACTTTGACCTTAATTCATAAATAACATTGACCGTTAATATCAAGTGTCTAAATTTTGCTGTTTTGCTGATTTTTGCTATAAGTGGCCATAACTTATTTTTAAATGGATTGTCATCAATCTTGAACATAATAATCATTTAGGATAGACATTTGAGTAGACAAAGTAGACATTGACCTTCACTCGTAAATTACATTTACCTTGAAGGTCAATATATTGATTTTTTTTCATTCCTTTGCTGTACATGTACCTGCATAACGTTTTTATTTTTGAATGGAGTTACTTTATATTATAATAGAGCTATTTTCGGATAAGACCTTTATGTATATTGAACTCAAATTAACCTTGGCTCTTTTATAAAATTGACCTCGAAGTTACATTATTAAATTTTCATTTGTTTGCTATAATTGACAGTAGCTTAGTAATTAATCGATGGATTATTTTCATAATTCCACAAAATAATCTTACGGACAAGACATTCTGAAAGTTACAGCTGACTTTGGCAATGAGCCTTAAATGACCTTTGATTTTTGGTTAAGTTGTCATGATAATTTATTATTGTTATTTTTATACGGATTTTACTCATAAATGGACAAAACAACACTTGTGGCCAAATAGACAAATAGACAAATAATACAAACATGACCTTGACCTTTATATGACATTGACCGTCAAATGATTGCATTTTGATTATATTTTCTTAACTTTGTCATTTATTTATGGAAAGGATTCCTCCTTGGACAAAACCAACAAGTGTGACTAGACAGACCTATAAAAATTTACAAAAGGAAAAACTTCATTTTTTCTTTAGTTTGCTTTCTAAAGATTTGTTTAGAAAAAATAAAAAGTCGAACATTGTCCCCCGCCCGGCTAAGGTTCTTAATTGCTTTTTGTTTTTATAGTTTCCCGTATCTTTGACTGTCTTATACGGTCAAGTTTATTTTGACCATTGTCAATCACTTCTTTCTTTCTTTCAGACCGTAAAACATTATACAACGTCAATCATTTTGCAAGTAATATTATAATGACATATACATTTTTAAAACTTTTCTTGGGGTTTCGACAAGAAAGCCATGAATAATGGGATGAGCCTGAAGCTAATGTAAGAAATTACTTATCGAAAAATCTTGAGATAGACGATCCACTATTGAGCTAGAACGTGCACATCGCTTTACAAGAAAAGTAATATCTCCAATAATTGTTAAGTTTAACAATTCGAATATATAGATCTGAATCAGAAAATCTAAAGCACACAGCAGCGATCAACTAGAATATGACGATATTCGAGTATCTGAAGATTTTACCTCGCATTCAAGGAAAGTTACTCATTATATCGACATCTTTAAGAAGCTGAACAAAAGATCGTATATTAAATGTGATAAGCTGATTAGGGACGGTGTACCCTATATATCTGACTTTGACAATGATGATATTGTTCCTGAGAAATAGGACAGTGGACAAGGTCTGAATAATAAACTGCCATATTTGAATATTCGACATGATGTTTCAAATTTTGTCTCTGACATATGTATTCATGCTATGAAATTGAGTGTTTGAAATATTTTTGGTTTATCATTAAAATTGACTGGACAAAGCTATATTTGTGATTCATCCGATTATGTTGATAATATTAAGTCATTGAGCATTATTCGTTTGGTAGAAATTTGGGCACAAATCTATGGTTTAGTATCAGGTTATACATGTTTTGATGTTGTTAGACCAATACCAAAAAAGCAAAACGAAATTCAGTTAGAATATCTGTTTTTGTTAAAAATATCGTATTTCTGTATGCTGAAGTTATACAATTGAGACCTTCTAGTAACACTTTTTTATTGTTACTTGTTACATCTCAAGTTAATGTCCTTCATAATTTTCTTTTAGGTTTTGTATATATGTTACCAGAAAATTCGTCAATACATGACGCACTGTTTGACGAGTTTGCTATTTTCGAAAGTGACTATCCGGGTCTATTCATCTTTGTCTTAGTTAGTTGAATTCAATGCGTGTACGTCCACAAACCTTATTTTATTGCAATGGATGGTGAATATCTATTGTTAAATTAATGATACATTTTATATTGAAGATACTATTTTGCCACCTAGAGCTTGCCACCTAGAGCTAATCCTGATGGTAAATCTATAAATAATTACGGCAAAAACTTGCTTCAGCTTTGTATTGGTACTAAGCTTCGTATATGTAATGGCAGAAATGGTAACGATGCTAGAAAAGGTTGTTATACTGATAATACTTCAAGTCTTATTGATTATATTCTGTCTGATATGTAATTCTCTGATTATGGCTGAGATTTTGATGTTGAAAACAAAATTGAATCTTTTCACATGCCCGTTAAGATTAAGTGTGCATCGCAATTAGAAGATAATATTCTTGAACGAGTATTTAGTATATCTCTGAGAATCTATATGCAAGTCTGAAATAGTGTGAAAAAATAAACAACAATAAAAATCTATGGAAAAGTTAATTATAGTTTTCGAATCTCTGTTTGACTTTTTGGATACAGCTTTAGATAATAGAGATATAATCTAGCTATACAGCGACTAACACATTGTTTTTACAATGCTGGATCAAACAAATATGAACACTAGAAATAAGTGTATTAATAATCTTAATACAATTTGTTTGTTTGTTTGTTTTGTGTTTTACGTCACATCGACACAGTATAGGTCATATCGCGACGTTCCAACTTTACTGGTGGAGGAAGACCTCAGGTGCCCTTCCGTGCATTATTTCAGGCACGAACGGGCACCTGAGTAGAACCACCGACGTTCCAATCTTAATACAAACCAGAAATGTCAAAAATGGTACGGTTCTACTTGTAAACAACTTCGTACCAATGATTTTGAGATAAAGAGAATTTCGTAGATCACGCACTGATAGCACTTAAAACTACTACAAATTAGTCAAATCTGAATATCGCGAAACATGTCGTAACTGTAAACTTACATATGAAGCTAATGAAAGATAAAAACATGTCGCTGCTGTCCGAAATATTTTTGGAATAATTTAAAGTAAAAGACAAACACAGGGCTAAATCGTGCTTATGTAACAACTAAAGAGTGGTATAATTATTTTAATAGTTTATTTAATTCCGTTGTTAACAGTGAGTTTGATGATACCAAAAACGTCTGAACTCAAATAAGGTAAAGCAGCTGGCAGTTATGGTATCACAGCTGAGTTTATTAAAGCAGCCTCTGACAGACTCATCCTAATTTTATGTGTGTCATACCATAAGCTATACAATAACGATACATTTCCCAACAATTGGTCAATCTCACTTATCTTATCTATACTTAAAAATGGTAATTAAAATGATCAAAAAAATTATCGCGGGATCAGCTATCTATCTGTACGGAGTAAAAGATTTACAACTATTTTAAATAGCAGGTTTGAAAAAAATTGTGTGACGCAGACTTTGTATAAGGTAAAGGATAAGGCCGCTTTAGGAGTGGTTATAACACTATATAATATAAATATATAATATATTTAAATTTTCTTGTCTGTGTAGTCTAATAACTAAATATCTACAAAAAACTCAAGATCGTTGATATGCTTTATCTGTTTATTTCGAAAAAGCATTTGATCGAATTAATAGTTAATTAAAAAATGCTCTATATAGTAAATAATGCACTAATAATATTAGTTCAAAGTTTTCTTTAAATGATCAAATCTTTTTATCATGCCATAAAATCCCCATCTGGACTAATTGAAAGATTTGAATGCCCATTTGGTGTCAGGCAGGGGTGTTCGCAATCACCGTAACTACTTTCGTTATTCTTAAAGGGATATTCAGGCAAAATAATGTCAAAAAAATTAAAATGATCTAATGTATAGTAATTACAAACAATTATATTGTGTGCTTGCCAAACAATTATATTGTTTGCTTGCAAACAAATGTAATGCGAAACAATAGACAGTATGCATCTTTTGATCTGCATGAAAATATACCCCGGTAGTATCTTTAATATAATTCAATTGATAGAAGTTTATCGTAAATCAGACAACATTTAAATAAATGTATACGACGATTATTTAGCAGTACAAGAGTTAAAATGGTTTTAATGATTTAGTTGAAAAAAAATAACATTTTAGCGTACAGACAAACATTATGGTGTTTAAATATCTTTATTCATAAATTTGCATACTAAACATTAGGTACATTCTTACAAGCACATATTACATACTTAGCTAAAAGCAATTTTGTATAATTCGACGACCCGCTTACCGTTATAATCCGTTTGTCGTTATTACTTAAGAAAAAACAGGTCATAATGTATTACACATATCGTAAAAAAACATGAAGAAATATTCTGCGGTTTTTAGTTGTTTGGGTCGTCAGACCAAACAAATAATGGTAGCGAAATTTCAGAGTCTGATGCTGTTAATTGCAAATGCCGAAAGTAGGCCGCTTTTTGAAGCGGTTACTTCCCTTTATATGTAAACTAACGCCGAAAAAATTCAGGGGAGATCACTGCGTAAAGATGGTCAAATGACAGGCGCCTTAAGTTTCAAGCAAAATAATTCCCGAATGGTCGAAAATTTCTAATATTGTTTTATCCTTTATAGACATACATGCTTATAATAAGCTCCATAATTATTAACATCTGTGTTAAACAACAGTTAGCGTCGAAATAATAAGGGTTACAAACCCTTATTTAAAATAATATGGTTTTTTTTTATTCAGGCCTTTTACATATAACTTCACCGTGGCCGAGGGGTCTGGAGTTCAAATCCAGGAAGGCAACTCTTTTTTTTTCAAACTGTTTCAGTCAAATAAACATTGAATTGAATATCAGTGTTGCAATTAGTCTTAAAGACAATTAACTACAATTAAAACGATGGAAAGCACTGGTGGCACTATACAAAAACAAATTGGTTTCTTCACCTTTCTGACAAATTCAGCACCTTCTGTGCTTTGATTATTTCTGCGATGATAAAACTGACTGCAGCAAACGCAGAAATAAAGTCACCGCAGAACAAACCACTTGTACGGTATTTAACATCGTAATAGTAATCATATAGAGTAATATATCTATGGTATTGTCTGTTAATCTCTTTTATATAAGTCTACCAAAGTTCATATTACAATATACTATGTGCATTTATGATCACCTCATTGTATTTTCCATTGCTATGTCTCGTATGTTGTATTATGTTGTAGTTTGGGTCGGAGGCCTATGTAACAAAAAATAAGTTTTACTCACCTATATACCTATATATCCCCAGTTATCTTCCTTACAATTATTTACTAGACAGCAGGTTCAATAACTGTTTGCGACCAGTTCAATATTTTGTTCAAAAACATTTGAGAACAAAATGCCATGACGCTTTTAATTCAATGAAAATTAAAGGCCCGCTTGAGTCTGTTTACGAGAGACAGGTGGAATAGTGGAAGTAGTGGAATGTAGAATATCTCACTTAAATGTGTTTTCACCTGCCACCCCAACCTAAACCGTCTTTAACAAAGAGATCAACATTTTCATAACAAAAGGGATACAATGAAAAATGAACTTTATAGAAACCCTCGGTAAGTTAATGATGAAATTTCTTTTCACTAGCATTAATTTGAAGAAACTAACACATTTCATGAAGTGTTTTTTACACAATAAAAGATAAAGTCATTATTGTGTTTATGTCTAAAAAGGCAATGTTTATTTATCAAAGAATTTTCAGAGTATGGCAATGTCACTTGGACATAGTTGTAAAGAAAGTGGAAGTGACGAAGCGTGGGATAATGCAGAGGATACTGAGGTCTGCTCATATTGTGCTACCGATGGAAAGCTCCAGCCAGCATCGTACTTCTGTTATAATTGTGGCGTGTTTGGAAGATACATATGCGACAGATGTTTAACTCATCATAACCGGACTGTGAAGAGTCATAAAGTAAAATTGATGAGCAATCAGCCGATGTCCCGAGGGTATGTAATACCATTAGGTATTATATAGTAAAAATGCAAGTATTTCTCGTAAAGTCATTGTTTGACTGACTAGTAATATTCTTGTTAATTAAATAGTTCAACGATAAGTTATAGAGCATCACCAAATTATAAGGGTATCTGATTAATAGGAGCGGGGCGTAGCCCCCGTGAACATTGTCGAGAGTTTTGATGTTCTTTCTCTTCTGTATCAATGATACAGTTCTTTTTTATACCATTCAGCCCCCATCTAACCCTGTGGATATATATTATTGAGTATTATTTTTACTTAGCGGCACAAATGGAATCAATTTTGATTTATCAAGCAGTTTAGCTCACCTAAGCATAAGGCAGTTATTGCCATTATCTCCGTTTTATGTCGTTCTCATCTTGTACAATAAGTCAGTAAAGTCACACGTGTCTATACCGACATTCATTAGGACTAGTTGGTTATTCGAGGTTGTCGGATATGGCAAGTTAAGAGTATTGCAACGATCAGTTTGCTTAAACGTGTTCATTTATTTATCAGAGACATTTTAATTATCTTTATGTACATTGTATTAAAACACAAACTCAAGTTTGTGAACTTTAAGCCCAGTATTATTTTCACATTGATCTTTATATAATACCACTTGTACCACTGAAGAACGTCCTATTTCGACATGTATATTTTTGTTGGATTTGTATATTAATAAAGTATAACTTGTCTATACCAGGACTTATTAAGACTAGTTTGTTATGTTGATTATGGGAGGGTGTCGGATATGACAATCAACAAACCATGCAAATCAATAATTTGACAGGTCTATATTTAGCCAAATTGTTAAGATATAAAATAAGTTTTTGTTGTTTATACTTTAATTCTTATGAATGATTCATTTAATTGATTGAAACAACTTGAGAAATTCAGACTTGATTTTAGTTTCAAAATGTTTTGTCGACGCTATTAGACTTTTCAAAAAGCTTTTTGTTCTCCGTTTAACTAACAGCTTATCAATTTACAGTGATCTGATATTCACTGGCAGAAAGTCATATTGACATCAGCTATTGCCTCGGTCAAAATGTCATCTGCCGGTGAATATCACGTCATATTCAATGGCACACTAGTCAATAATTGTATAATATTGAAACTTTTTAAATTCATTATAATTATATAATCTTGACCAGTATGATATTATCCTTTCTTCGATGTCAATAGAATAAGTTTTAAGAATCTATATTGTTCTCACTCAACACAGTTGAGATTAACATATCTCCAAATTTCAATTCCTTACATAACAATATCATATGTGTACAGTTAGAATAAATGCTTTGATAAAAAAGCTCATTTGTAGTATTTGTATTACTATATAACAAGGGAATAATCTATTGGAAAACAAGAAATTATCTTCACACATTGCTTAATATATGCGTAAACATTTTCCTTTAATATCTGAATGCATCTTTTTACCATAAACCATTTCTCAAAACTGTGCCAAATGTTAGTTCAATTATGAAAGAAAAAAGTGTTCCTATTGTTATTAAGATACTGAACAATATGTTGCTAAATAATAAATGATCTAAGGTAGACATTTCTTCCCTTAAACCTGCACATTGTTGATTATTTTATCAGAATTCGCGTATTTAGTATTCTTTCATTTAAGAAGTATGATGCGTATCGGGAATGAAAGAGATTTTGGCTATCATGTATCACAGGTGTCGTTTCAACCGGGTATATAATTGATATGAAAGAAAAATAATGAGAGGACAGATTTGTCAGTATGCTTGAGCTAGAGTTTAGTAATATGACATGACACATTCTCTTGTGGTGGTCTACCAGATTTGTTTAAATTAAAGCTCTCGGTTTAAATTCGCCCCTCTGCAGTTTATATGTATAAGATATGTTATGTGTGAAATTAAAAAAACTATAACAGGCCCGTGTGGAAATTAAAGGATAACAGAGGGGTAACGCCATCGAACGGTTTTGGTAGTTACACACTTGGGAGTTGAAACCGGTTTTAGGCGAGCCAAACCTCACTCTGAGGTCATTATGTTCCTATTTGACATGACAGTGTAAATAAAATGAATCCCCACATTTCTTCTATAAAACATAAGAGCTAAAACTTTGATATTTGGCAGGAAAAATTGTCTAATGGACCTCTTCCAAGTTTGTTCAAATTTTAACCCTGGAATCTAATAGGTCCCACCTAGGAGGTCATTGTTTATCTTATATGAATATAGCATAAATTTGAGATAAAAAAATCTTTTTTCTAAAACCATCATAATGAGGTTGAGCTTAAATAATGGCAAGAAACATTTTCTGGTGGACTTTACCAAATTAATTCATATTAAACACTGGGTCAAAATTAGACAAGCCCCGGGGGTTATATATTTTGTACATAGCAAAAACTGAAAATAAAATCTAAAATTATGAAGGCGAAAATACGAGATATTTAGTATGAAACATTGTCTAGAGGGTGTTTATACCAAATTCAAATTATAGCACTGTGCTGTTTTGCCCTGTCAAGGGGGTCATGTATTTTATTTTATGTACGAGCGTATATAATAATAACAGAAACAAATCGTTTTCTCTAAGACCATGAAGGTTAACGCTTATATATTTTTCGGGAAACATTTCTTATGAACCACATCAATTTTGCTTCGAATTATTGCCCTGTGATCTAAAGTGGACCCTACAATCAGAAAAGCTACAGTTTAGATAATTGTCGTTAAACATTTCTAGCGACGTCTACTGAGCTTGTTTAATTTTTAGCCCTTGGGTGTAAATTGGCCCTGCCCTGTTCTGCTCCGGAGTCATGCATGGACTTCCTTTTTTAAACAATCATTTACTTCCATGACAATCATTGACTTCCCAAAATAACTTAAGATTCTCATAGCAACCACTTACTTTCAAAAGCAACTATTGACTTAAAAGGCAACCTGTGTGTTTTACAAAGATTGCCTTTCCTAAGCAAACAGTATACTCCATAGTAACCAATGTCTTTCTTAAGCAACCAGTTACTTCCATAGCAACCGTCGGCTTTCAATTGGAACAATTATATTTCATAGCAATTAATTTAGACTTTCACAACAACAACAACCATTTACTTCCATATTAATAATTGTTTTCATACCTATTAATATTGACTTTCCATAGCCTATTGTGTACCAAACGAAATCATTGACTTTTCATACGAACAATTGTTTATTAAACCTACTAAGACTTTCATGGCAATCGTTGACTTTCTATAACAAACATCAAATTTCCATGCCAACCATTTACTTACAACCTGAACCAGTGACTTAGATAGCAATAACTGACTGAACTTTTTTCCGTTATTACAAGTTTTTCCTTAGCAAGCGTTATAATTCATTGCAAACATGGTCTTTCCAAAGAAGTGGAATTATTGACTGTCAATAGGAACAACTGTATTTCATAGCAATTACTGGCTTCTGTAACAACCGTTGACTTTCCATAGCGAAGGGTATATTTTCATAGGCACCATTTACTTTACAATCAAGCAATGATTTCCATACAGTTCATAAACTTGTTGTTTCTACAACTTTTTTTCGCAAGCATTATAACCCTTACCAACCAATATCTTTCCTTGTGTACATAAGTATGATTTATTAAAGATTGTATCACTTATTATAACCATATACAGAATTGAATCTATAACAGCTTTACAGCTTATACAGTGTCGTTTCAATTTTGTATTTAAGACAAACGTTGGAGACAGAACTTGAAAAAGAGCAAAAGAAGGTAGAACAACTACGCCACAAACTTGATGACAGAATGAAAACAATCCAAGACCTTGAAAAAGATTTAAAAGTAAGAGATGAAAGAAACAATGATTTAGACGATGAATCAAAAGATCTAGCAAAAAGGTAGAATACTTTTATAATTTTTTTTTTATAAATATTTCCAAATATTTTGTAATAGTGTTTGTTTTTAAAATAATCAGGTATTGTTGTGTTTGTTTTCAACGATATGTATGAATATTATTAAGTTGAAAGTAATGATTGTTTCAACATGTTTACTCTCTTTATTTGTGATATATATATATATATAGCAGCTTGTAGTATGATTTGTTTCAAACTTGAAATGTACACGTGCAATTACTTTAAATATGCATATTATAGTTGAAAGTGTAATACTATTGTGTAAAACATTTTTACCACGTTATGTTTTTGTTAATGACAAACCTTATCAAAAAAACCCATGACAGTATCCCATTTTGGGGATAAGGACTTGATAGGAATTCGTCACCATTAGAATATGTATGTATATTAGTAAGGCTTTTTAGTGGGTGGTATAATATAGACCCCTGAACCTAAATAAGTACAAAAATGTTCAGTTCTTAAAAGTATGCAAGCGCAACCCAGTCACTACTTTTATGTCATTATTAATGGATAATAACAATTAAACAATCTAGAGAAACTGTAAACTTTGTTCAAATAAAAAATACGATCATTATAAAAAAAACTGTGATAGGGTATCAAACTCTGATTAACATGGCGTAAGAAATATGGAACACATACTCTACTGTGCTACTGAGGCATTAATACTATTATGCAGATTATCAGTTAAGATTTTACAGAAATTCCTGAAAACCCCAAATACTTCATCGTGTCACAGGGTTGGAAAACGTGAAGCATGACCGGTACTCGAACTAGGGACCGTCGGAATACCGTTCCGCGGCTCTACCGACTGAGATATCCGGCCTCTAACACAATTCTCCCCTAACAGTTCTGAACAGTAATAATCGAAAATAAATGAGGCACACAGAACTCTACATATTATAGAATAAAAGAAATGTACATACGATGTATTAATGTAAATTTTAATTGTTACACACTGTTTAATGTTTACGTAGATTCTCAATATTACTAAAACGATATTATCGGACACACATAGCAAGTATAAATGTGATACTCGTATATCAGAATTACCTTTAACGTTTTGGGATTGTTTTTTTCCGAGTCTGGTGCAATAATCCATGTATGACCGCCTGTTTTGTATTTGTAAGTTGTCTGGAGTGATGTCACTTTTGTGTCACCATTTTGTGTCTGCCTACCACAATCTACATGCTCGTCTACTGCTATGCTGACTTCAAAAGCAAACGCCACATAATTTTTCTTCTTTTAGTTGATTGAATCAACTTAGTGTTTGTTGTTATATTTTAATTTGATGATGGTAGATGTAAATTACCGATGTATATTACAAATCTCCCACTTGTCTGACGACATCATTCCAATTTATTTTCAGTAGAAACATTGCACTATGAATGTGTATTTTGTTTTTAAATCGCAACTTAAAATTGACATTACTTTGATGCACACCTGAGTTTATTTTCGTTTGCCTCATTTACATGTATATTTTTATTGTTTCATTATGACATTATGTGATGAACCACGTGTTGCAAAAACTGTGTCCACCGCAATGTGGACTGAATATAATGTTTTAATATAATATTATCATTCACCTGTTCCAATTTATTTCAATATATGGTTTACTAAATTTTAACCACTTATGTATTTGATTATTTCTTGTACCTCTCAAATTTGATTCCTGACACGATAATATAAAGGTGCATACTAAAGTGTGGTGTGACCTGTTCAGTGGTGAATGTGAGTCTACTACATTTACTACATTTTTAATTATGTATCATACATTATTAATATTTTCAACGTATGAAATGATTGACATAATGATATCTTTTTGATTTTCCTTAATATATTTCGTGAGGATCTGAAATGTATCATAGAATGCCTGGAGATATTGCAGAATTTAGTCTTTACATTTGCATTACACTTTTTTTCTCTTTTCCGGTCAAAATCTCCACAGAAACCTATGGTAAGCTTTGGAAATATTCACAAATTTTTGCTTAAGGTTGCAAATTTACGCTCTCCACCACTGCGAAAGCAGGGAAGATTGGCAACTTTATGAATTGTAGTATATAATGGTTATAGTTTGTCAAACTTTAATAACATTTTTAACATATAGTCCCCCTACGTTTAACATTCGTTTGATTTCAACTGTTGTTGTAAATTAAAAAAACAAAACAACAAAAAACAACACAAACAACCAAAACAGAGATATTGGTTTAAATCCACAGTATTAATTTTATCACATTAGGCGGCAGACTGCTTTTAATTATTAATACTATTTAAGCTCTTGAAAATAATTGTTAATATTTTCAAAACATTGTGCTAATGTGGAGTTATTAGTTCGAATGACTTTTTGTTGTTCATCTGTTGTCCACTTATCACGCAATTGTTGGTTTTTGCATGAAAGCAGGTGCAATGCTTATTATGAATAAATTACTTTCTAATTTCTAGTCAACTTTTTGCAATTTACAAAAATCTTAACTTTCTTCTTCTCTATTATGTTTAAGTTTTCGCCATTTTGTTAACATTCATTAGTCACCTTGAGCTCAATGTTAGCTATAATTGTGATCGGCCCAAGCCCGACGTCCCTAGTGTGTCTTCCGTTGTCTGTTTAAATCATCATCTTCTCCTAAACCATTTGGCAAATGTTGTTAAAACTAAGCAGGGTTGTATCTGGCATGGAGCTTTACAATGTATTTAATTTGTACAAAGAATTCCATTCCATGCAGAAAGAATAAACTTTAAAAATCTCTTTCTTTAATGCAATGGGCTATTTGCAAAATCATCTAGTCGGTCTACCTAGTTTAATTAAAATTGACCACGCCTAGGGATCTAATAGGCTATCCTTATTTGTATATACATGTAGTTAAAAATTAAAGACTTCCTCTTAGAGTTAGAGTTAAGAATTTGTGTAGGTAACACTGTTAAGTGTTCTCAAAATATATTCCTGGGGGCAAAAATATTCCCTACCACGTGGATCATTGGGTTTTGTTATATGATATAATGTATATGTAGAAATGACGTAAAAACCTCTACTCGAAAACCATAGGACAAGAACCAAGATATGAGGTATGTAACATTGCCTAGTGGGTCTATACAAATACCCTTAAAATATGAGCTCTTCGGTCAATATTAGTTCCGCCACGGGAGTCACTGCTTTTTATATAGTAAAAACTTTTTCATGTATACTTCCTTTGTAGGGCTACAATGCCAAGATCTTAGTTATTTTTTAGCATGTATTATTACCTAAAAGAACCCCACAATAGATACAAAACTCACTTATATTGGAAAATGGCTATGCCGTGGGGAAGGGGGGGGGGGTCGTATATGTCTTAAAAGTCATTTTCTCCAACCATAGGTACATATATTTAGCAAGTATCATCACACTTTTGGCTTCATTTAAGTAGAGTTATCAACAAAATGAATGTCAATTGTACAAATGAGAGCAGGACATTACATATTTTGTTCGGGAATTGCAAATTCATATAAATGAGTGACATGTTTAAATAAAAAGTATTACTGGTCTAAATTTATCCGACCTTTTAGACTTCTATTATTATAATTACATGTATTTTCATCGGGTGATATGTATATGGATAGCCAGTTCATTAGTACTGTGTTCAATTTACTTAAGAGCAATAAATTCAAAGCACTCGTTGAAAGACACATGTTTTAATATATGTCCGATCTTTAAGTAGTGCATAAAGAAAAAAAACATCTGCAAACCATCGATATCATATTTTCAAAATTTCTGAGGGATGCCTGGACATCAGCCATTTAGGCGTCCACATAACAAAAATGCTGTTTTGATTACATACGAGGATGATTGATTAGGAAGCTGAATCTTGAAATTAAAAAAGATAAAAAGTACTCAATATGACAAAATTATGAGAGTTTTTGAAGAGATGAAGAAAACATAATTACAAAATGGTTAAATCCCTTAAAGTTTTTTTTACCTACCACAAAAGTTGGTAGGCTTTACTGAAGTATTGTGTTATGCTTGTCTGTCAGTTCAGTTGTTTGTCATTTTTCAAATTTAGTTTCCGTTCAATAAATCATTTACCCCTACATGGATTTTCTTTATACTTGGTCCACATGTCCACTTCAACATTACATTAGGCAAGGTGTATAACTTATATCTACATTATGCTGGTTCAGAGTCAAGGTAAACAAAAGACAGTTCTATTTTCATTCTTTGTCTGCAATAAAGTGATGTATAGGACTCATGCAGCCTCTGTGCCTGTTCAAGGTCAAGGCCACACTTATTGTTGACTGAAAGCTTATATGAAGTGAGTGTACCTGAAAATATCTATTTCATCGCTATTTCATGAATTTAAATCTAAACAAGTTATTTTTCTATTTTGTACCTAAAGTTTTGAAAAGGAAATCAAGATAAGAGCAAATGTTGAAAACGAGCTAAAGTCTGCTTGGGAGTTTGCTAAAGAACATATGCTAAGTATTCTTAAATATTTAATTAGTATTTATCTATGTTATACCTATAGTCTTGGACAGGAAAAGAAGACAAGAACAGCTGTTGAAAATGAACTAAAGTCTGCTACGGACATGGTTCAGAGGCTTGAGAAACATGTCAATGATGATTTTGTTAAGTGTCAGGAACATCAAAAAAGAATAGCAGAATTAGAAGCTGCAAATAAAAAACTTGAAGCTGCATATAAAAATCTTGATAAACACAAATATCATATAGAACAACAGGCAAACAAGAATATGGAACACATGCAAAATGTTCTTAAAGAGGAGAAAAGGAAATCAGATGACCAGTACAAAAAGCTCTTAGCAGAACGAGATAATTTACGAGACAGGTAAGTTAGTGCTTTAATTACGTTATGTAGACGCATTCAGGTTTTTCTAAGGTATTTTCTTTTTCGGAACGTTTTTTACTCAATCTTGTTTCAATAACAACATTTTTGTTTTTAGGAACCAACTTTTGATTTTCGCTTATTCATACATGTACATCAACCAATTTAGCCTCAAATCAAATGTTGTGAGAAACAACTAGCTATGCATACAATATACTCATGTCTTGCACTAATGCTGTACAATATATACAAGTAATTCTAAAACTCATCGTGAATTTGTTACTATAGACAAAGAAAAAAAGACAAAGAAAAATCAGTGTTAAACTGTCAAAAAACACTAGTTAGGGACTACATGTTTATGTGGCTGTTATGTTTTCTCACTGGGTTATATAGTTCACAAAGCCTTTTAAAGCAACAATAAAGAGTCATTTTTACGTATATTTTCAGTTCTTATAATATTTTCTTTTCATACAATACTGCAATAATATCTCACATACACTAACGCGACAGATTTGATCCATATCACTTAATAAATATTTTGACAAAACGGCGCCAATCCGTAAGCAGCGTAATGACGTCATCCTATGTATACAACTCATTCATAAACACTGACATCATTTCAAACATACAAGAATGATAAATTGGGAACTGATGTAAACACAATACGATCCATTGTAAGACGTAAGTTTTTTTATTGTTTAAAACTTGATAAAATAACTTTTTTTATTATTATTATTTCTTTTGTTTAATAATTTCTATATCTTAGCAATAGTAGGGTGCGAAATCGAACATCGTTAGAAGAAGTAAAAATAGCATTAGTGATTTTTCTTATTTGATCTTGTTAGAATCGCAATAATATCGGTCTACGCCTATTTACCACCGGTTTTGTCGTTTTGATGCAAAACAATAACCACTCAGGGAAACGGCCTTTGTGGTAAATTCCTACACATCTAAAATCCAAACCGGTGTTAAATAGCTGATAAACACAGCTAAGACCGATATGATTTCTTGATAATAATATGCTAATAAAATATACACCTTAGTTAATAAGAAAACACTCACGAAAAGTTTTTTTCTACAGTTTATAGAATAATATAAAAGTACATATGATGTATTAAAGCCCTTTGGAAACTGAATTGTCTTAATGTTCGCTTTCTGCCTTGCTTCGTCGGGCCCTTGTAGGTGATTTTCTTGTTGCTCTGCCTTCCTTTAAGGCATCGAGTACTTTGGTAATGGTCATTAGGCAGTCACTTTTTTCTAAATATTTACACAATTTTGTATGTGTTTTATTTATTTCGTCTAATGAAACCATGACCATTGTTAGAATTTCACTTGGCGGGGATTAATTTTATATACATTTTCGTGTCATTCAGGAACATATTGGGACTAAGAGTGAGGTTTGGCGCGCCTCAAACCGGTTTAAACTCCCCAGTGGTTTAACTACTACTGACCGTTCCAAGGCGGTACCCCTTTGTGTTCCTTCATGTGTTTTTCTTGTCTGTATTGTTACTTGTTTTTGGATGTTTACATGTTTTGTGATGTCTGTCTTGTTGGATTGTCGTTGACGGTAGGTATTTTCCCCCTTCCATTCCCCCCACCTTGTCACCCTTACAGCCCTTTTCCCTTTAATTCCCTTATTGGCCTGCTTTTGTTTATATTATTTCACATTACATGTCTCGCTCCTTTCGCCATTGTGTCCAATTCAGGTACTTGTTTGGTCCCTTCTGGGTGTCCTGCTAGGGTGTGTCCGGGGGCGGCGTCCTGTGAACGTTGGCTTTGCCTTGATGATCTTTATAGTTATTTTAATGTAAATTGTTATTGCATCTCTACCAAGTTACACACTGTTAATTGTTTACGTAGATTCCCAATATTACTAAAACGATATTATCGGACACATATAGCAAGTATGAATGTGATACTCGTATATCAGAATTACCTTTAACGTTTTGGGATTGTCTTTTTCCGGAGTCTGGTGCAATAATCCATGTATGACAGCCTGTTTTGTAAATGTTTAGTCGTCTGGAGTGATGTCACTGTTGTGGCACCATTTTGTGTCTGCCTACCACAGTCACATGCTCTTCTACTGCTGTACTGACTTCAAAAAACATATGCGATATCAATACATGTCACATAATTTTTCTCATTATAGTTGATTAAATCAACTTCATGTTGAAATTTATGTCATTTCATACATAAATGTCATTCCAACTATTTTCTAACAATAACGTATGAATTTACAACTTGAATAACAGCAGCGAAATGACATTATCCTAAGCACATACTTCCCTTCTAAAATCACGCCATTTTAACGCAGTGTATTCATAAATGAGCTAAAATGACGTTGTTGTATGGCACACGACTCATCTGGCACCCCCATGCCAGATGAAATTTTAGGCTAGGTTAAAACTCACGGGAAAAACTTACGGAAACGCCAGTCTGCTATGAACGAAAATGAGATGAATGGACACTGTTATATTTAAGGCTGTTAGGCTGCAAGAATTTATAGAAAAGTATAAAAACTATCACATTGGATAAACATATTAAGAAATAGGCAGAGTTACAACAATCATTTAAACACTTTTTTTCACATATCCTATCTGTTTACCGTTTTAGAAAATCACTGACCGAGATTATTTATGGTGAAAACCAAACGTTGCTCACTATCAAACCAAAAGTTGCTCACTATCAGTGTTCTGTCGAGAGTATTACATGAATCAGGGAGAAACATTTTACGCCCAGGAATGTCATATAAATAAAAAATGGCTATCGGGGTGATAGAGGATATTGTCAACCAGAGAACTGGTATATTTCCCCAAAGGCACATAACCATGTTATTTATTTTATTACACCGAAAGACCTACAAGTACAATATTTATAAAGTACGCAGTAAGGGAAATAAATAGAATACATAGATGATGCTCATCCTGATGACACAATAGGAGAGGCAATAATATGGAGTTATGCAAGAGTTATGTATCCAAGGGTGATATAAAAATGTTCCCGGGGAATATATCCTAGGAGGGTGATATTCAATAAGAACACATAATAGGCCTGGGAGTTTTACATTGAAGGATGGATTGAGGTATAATAAAATGTAACATGTTAAATATTTATACGTTGGCAGTAAATTTTTTGTTAAAGTCAGTAATTGTGAAATTTGTATACAGTATAAAAAGTCAGGAAGGGCCATATCTAATGCACGAAAAAGGGAATTCTAAAATACTTTGATCTTGCATAGTTACGTGTCAGACGATCATACATGAAAATTTTATGTACACGAGGTCAAAAGAATTGCATGAACAAAGGTTCGTAGAACAGGAAATATCCCCCCCTTCATACATTATGTAAGTGACCTTTGACCTACTGATCTTAAAATCAATAGGGGCCATCTGTGAATGATGATCAACTTCCCTACCAACTTTACTGATCATAGGACAAAACATACTTATTTGATATTAAATCATCATAATCATTATTTTGGGAAAAAGAAGTATCAATCTTTTATGAAAATACGTCTTCAAACTGCAAAATTATTATAAATTACAATTAAAATACTATATTTGATATTTTATAAGTCACTTACGTATTTCCAGTGTGATCGAAAGGAATATTGCTGAATTTGAATAACATAAAGATTATTGAAATAAATGTGGTATAAATCATCATAACGATTAGTTTGACAATAAATATTAATTTCTGATAATATACGTCTACAAACTCCAATATTAGCATAAATTCCAATTAAAAAGCTGTTTTGATATCTTACAAGTCACTTTCGCATTTCTAATGTGAGTGAAGGGAAGATCTCGGAACTTGTTTATAGAAATTATGCAAATTAATGGCGATTAAATCAATATTATGATTATTTTTTATAATATTAAATATAATAAGTTTCTATGATTATTCGTCTGCAAACTGCATTTTTTTTTGTTAAATTCTATTGAAACGCTATAATTCATATTTTTAAAGTCAATTTCGCTCACTTTCGTCAAAATAGTCACTTTCTATTTTATTTTGTGTTCATGTAAATTTCGTTATAACCCCATGTTATGATATCTTCTTGTACCTGGGTGAATAAAAGATATGTTCTGTTATGTTCTATTTTAGGTAAACGCCGATGCGTGTGTAAATAAAGCATTTTCATTGGATGTTGTTTTTTTTTGCGAGAACTTTAGTCACTAGTCTAAATACGAACAGCATTTCTTTTTCATTTTGAATTATTTCTTCACGTATTTTTTTCCAAATAATTATTATGACTTAATTATAAAGTGATATCAGTTTATGTAATACAAAAACGAAAAAATAAATGAAAATAAATGACAATTCTGGCGAGACTCATTCACGCGAGATTAGGCCAAAACAAAATGATAGTGTGGTTCCAGTAACCTGACCGACCCTGTATTTCCGCACCTAATTGCAAAAATGTTGTATCCTATAGTGAATATATCTGACATACAGTTCAATTTTGATAAAATAGAAGTTCATGTAGTTAGAATTCAAGGCCGGCGTGTAATTATCAAGAGACCAAGGTTGTTAGTTGGGAATGGTGACGTCCGTTTCAGAAGAGCGTTATTTAATTGGTAGAGAATTTTGGCAGTTTGCTCAACAAAGAAAATGTGGCTGCAGCAAGTCACTCGCCTGGTAAAGAGAACACACTGGCAGATGATGAAGGTCTTATATTTCATGACGATACTAAATGGATGTTAAAAGATACTTATTTTTAATTAATGTTAAGAAAGGTTTTCTAATCAGACTGATACTGATGTAAAGTTCAATGCAAAAAAATCCAAAATGCATTTCATTGAAGCCCGTGCTTAATTTGTCGAATCACTTCAGATACATATGTTTATCCGATGTGATTGTATGCTGAACCACATTTCATTGTCACAAAGTGTTTTTAAAAATGTTAAGGTAGACAAAACTCAGGGAATTGATCATGAAATTCTACTTACGGTCATTCGCACTGTACTTTTCCCCTGGCATATACCTAAGTAATTAGTTCAATGCAAAAATAAAGCTAAATACTACTGGGAAACTGCTTGATAGACTGCCTGGCTGAACTGTGCTTTCGTAAACTGCCGTGATCCGGAGAGTAAGTTTCGATACCAACACAAGCGCAAGATATTTTTTTTCTGCGATACTAGACAAATCATCCTTATATATAAATGTATTTAAACATGTGTGTCACATTCACTCTGCAAGTGAGGAAATATTAGATCTGTTGACATTATTTTCTTTTTGCCTCAAATGAAATTCACGGAGAAATTGACTGTTTGTCACCATTAACATAATATAGGCAATAAGGAATTTCCATTTTTGTAGATTCTTGGTGGGCAACCTAGAAAAAGGGCAATGATATTGTGAAGGTTATTGACTTTGTTCCAGTCAAGCCTGTGGAATTAATTCTTGAAAAAAAACTTTTTTCTTGGCAGACAATAAAAATTCATTGATGAGCACTCACTACATTTATAAGAGGTATTCTATTCAAAGACCAACTCTATCAAGGAACACTCAGATTTGGGATGTGTCAGTTGTTATCAAATAATCAAAACAATACAGATATATGAAGATGGGATTGAAATTGTTCACATACAAATTTGTAATGTTCATGGAATTATTGTTGAACAAACATGTGTAAGACGGAGTAAATGTTCAGCCAATGCAATGTGATAAGTTTCTTCATTATTAAGATTTGTGTGTTACTTCTGTATTAAATGCATATTTTGAAAGTACATCAATCGGGACGCTGCTTTCCAAAAATAATTCATTTATTTCTATATTAGAATAAGATATATTTAGTAAGAATTTCATAAATTTTAATAAATTTCCGTGATTAAAATATTTAACTCAATTATAACCATAATCTATCTCTAAAATATTTCTTATAGTAAGAACATTCAACATTTTGCATAACTTGTGGTCTTTGAAAAGTAATTGTCTGGGGACGTCCGACTGAAATTATTTCAAACTGTGAATTACTTATTACAATCTTCAAGTATAGAAAGAAGTGACAAAATGTACGGTTTTTCAAGACCATGACAGTAAATTTAGATAAATATGCAGATTTGGCCGACTTGCTGTTTGGCATTATATTTCAGCAATTGGTGGGGGACTGAGCGCAACTGCAAAGTGACATATTTTACCGAATGGCTGCTGCTGTTTAATAAACAAAAATAGTTTATTTTACTCTATATATCATTATTAAGCGATACAACATATAGAAAACATCAAAATATTTATACACGATATAAACTTGATCCGAAGAAATTCCGAAAAACACTTCATATTGTACGACAGAGCTGTATACATAGAATCAGTAGGAACATATTTATTGATATTAATAGATAGAAATATATTAGTAAAAATATCATATATAAATATACAGATCTAAGGCTACATTTCAGTTTCAATATATTGATTAAAAACAAACAATAAAACAATGTAAAACAAATGAAGAAATAGAACAATCGACAATACCGGGTAGAAATCAAAATCTGGGGCCTGGGAATCTATATCTATAATGAGATAAGGTTTTGTTGCCCTCATGTCATTTTGGACATTTTCGGATCAATTAAGTTGTAAATAATTTAAGTGACAATGCGAATATTATGATCATGTATTGTGTCCTTCATATTTGATATTTCACCATTTGATTTTATTATGCCATGTTTTTCTGCGTATGCATGTGCGTATGTATGAAATTCTCAAAAGACACATGAATGGATCAAATTGCTGAATACTTGTCATGAATTCATTTTACTGACATTAGTGTTTTATTCTATTTGTACTCAGGTTTAGTAAGCTAGCAGGTAAGAAATATCCGGAGCAGATTGCTGATATACTAGACCTAAGTGATCCTTACAGAGCAATGAAGCTGTCAGAGAGGTTTGGCCAGTTATATGATGATGAATGGACTAATGCCTTTGAAGATTTGACGGACAAAAAACTTGGTTTACCACTAAAAACGGCAATACATATTCTACTGGACCTTCTCCGAGTAATGTATAATACCATTTTATTAAACATTGTTCTAGAAATGCTGATTTTATTTTACTTCATCAAACAAGTATTTCTTTAAGCAGCGCAAGTTGGTGCAGGTGAATTCTAGTTTTATTTTCTTCTGCATAATATCTAAAATTTAAGTCCACTTTTTTAGCTCATCTAAGGACAACGCGCTTAAGATGAGCTATCCGCGTCAGTTGTCGTCTGTCATTCGTCTTCAACATGTTTAAAACAACATAATGACTGAATATTTACTAACCTTCACTTTAACGATCCTTGGTAGGTTACCTGTCAAAGTTGTTTAAAAAGAGCATAGATATGTGGCATGAACTTTTGGCAACATCTAATGAACCGGTCTGATTATGAAAAATGAAAAGTGTTCGATTATAATTAATATTAAGAACTGCCTGTTTTGAAATCCTCACTGATAGAGCTTAGAAATTTTTGTAAGGAACACCATTATAAACATTTCTATCAATTTATTTAAATTGAATCGCTTGGATCAAAAGTGACCATGCTTGGAATAGGAATGATTTGTTTTCCCTATATGGACATGTATAGTAAAAACTATAAATCTTCCTAGCGTTAGAGCATGAAATCTTGTCAAGTTGACCTCAACCAAGATCGTTCAAATTATTGATTTGATATTCAAATTGGCCCCGTTGGAAGAGTCATTGGTTTTGCTTTTATGTCCTTAGGATACAGTTAAAACCGCTTCTTCAATCTTTATAAGACCTAAGATTTGGTGTGGAGGTTAGTAATGACTTACGACTGACCTCTATTGATTTTGAAGCCAGTTGGTCAAAAATCATTCCGTTCTAATGTCAGTGGTGTAGAACCCCATATGGATCTCAAAATTGAGCATCTGTAAAATATATATGTAAATTTCTGCTGCTCCAGATATGTGCTTTAAAAAGAAAACAATTGAATCACAGGGTAAATTTTCAACTTTTTAATTATTTATGTAAAATTCAAAGCTTTCTTAAGAAAGCCGAAATGTCATTCTACCCTTCTTGCTTTGATCTCTATATTTACACTTTTTTGTTCGGATTTTTATGCAGTCATCATCGACATATACTTTCCGTCGTGGGCTCGGGTGTGCCAAAAATATGCAATGCATATGAAGAAAATGTCCAAAACTTACCATATGACTGGCTTATTTTCTCCTTCACATATCAAGTTAAAGCATATATCTCGAGCAGCGGATATTCACATATAAATTTTACTGATGCTCAATTTTGGGGTTCCAACCCGTGAATGTAGAGCTTTTTGGCTTTATGTTGTCATTAAGAAATGAATATTAATCTGACACATTTGATATAAATGTTGTTTTTTTTTTGTATATATTCGTAGTATGTCTCTATCTTAGCATTGTTTGTCTTTAAAAATGTCTGATATGTATGAAAATGGCTGCAATTTAGACAACAATTATTTTGTTCACAGGAATGCTATACGTTTTGCAACAATCTGATGACGACACAAATGGACAGTTTACAAAGTGCGTTTCTACATCCTGCTCAAAATCGGGCTAATTTTGACCAAAAGAAATATGTTGGTGTATGTAAATATTATGTTTTAAATTCAGTTAATTATACTTGTACATAAACGCGTTGATAATAAGGCGGTGCCCCTTTTATCTGTCAAACGTGTAAACATATTCGAGACAGTGAAATGTGGAAATCATCATAGTATTACAGTACATACAAACTTAAAAATTTATGCTTGATTGAAATTAAGCTCCCTCATGGGTGGCACTGATTATTGCAACCTAGTACCAGCTTAAACAAAATTATATGTTCAGTTACGAAATTTATGTGTTATTTCCATTTATTAACATAACAAGATGTTTTCATTGCATTTATTTAATTTTATACAAATATGTTGGAACTTTGACTGAACATTTGTCTTGTATTTGTTTATGTGACTTAATTAAGTGATTTACATAGGATGCCAACAGAATGGAATTGATAATATTCTCTACATACCTTCTAACTGGTCATAATAAAACAAGTCTTATAATGATATTTAGATAATTTCTACTTATATATTAACGGATTGTTCATTTAACATGATATGTACCTCAAAACAGTTTCATTGTAGTTTTTATGATTAAGATGATGTGATGACAAGAACAAAGATTTTTTGCTTCACTCAAAAATGATGGGGAGCATATAGGGGTCCTGTTTTTATGTCGTTCCGCCTTCCTACAGTTTCTATAATGTACATAGTGTGATTGATATGCATAGTAAATATGTCTTGAAAATTTTCCACCAAAGTTATATTGTGCAGAGCATAAATGTTTGGTAATTATGTTTTTGATTGGACTATAAGCTCGACATTATCAAAGCAAAATTTTGAGCTATGGTTTTATTCGTATAATCTGTTGCAGTTGCCGTCCAGAAACTTTAACATTGTTAAAATTATTGCATTTATTTATGGCTCGTCTTCATACCTGGCCACAAAACCCATTTTGGACAAAGTTTGTAAGGCAAGATGAACTTGACCTTGGCTCATTCATAACTTGTTCCTTTAATGTCATTTTTTAAACTTGATTTTTGTGATTGCAAAAATTAGTATACATAATCCTTTAAATAAACAAAAGTGTACATAATCATTACTGATAAATGACCTTGTTTCTGAAGGTAAAGGTATTATGTTCTGGTTGATTTTCCAATAAAAGGCTATATCTATGTTATTTATTGATGGATTGTCCTTATACATGATTACAATTATCTTTAAAACAATGTTTTAAAGAAATTTAAACTAAAATTGACCTGACCCATCAATGACATTGACTTTGAAGGTCAAATTATTGTACATTCACAGTATTTTGCTCTAATTTCCTATAACATTGTAAAAAATGAAAGGGTTGCCTTCAAACCTTGGAACCACATTCCTTTTGACAAGGAAATTTAACTGAACTTAACCTTTAATTACGTTCTGGTTGATTTTCCAATAAAAGGCTATATCTATGTTATTTATTGATGGATTGTCCTTATACATGATTACAATTATCTTTAAAACAATGTTTTAAAGAAATTTAAACTGAAATTGACCTGACCCATCAATGACATTGACTTTGAAGTTCAAATTATTGTACATTCACAGTATTTTGCTCTAATTTCCTATAACATTGTAAAAAATGAATGGGTTGCCTTCAAACGTTGGAACCTCATTGCTTTTGACAAGGAAATTTAACTGAACATAACCCTGACCTTGACACCAGGTAAAATAAATGATTTTTGCTACATTTGGTTATAACTTTTTATTTAGAAATGACTTTGATTTTTATTTCGAAAAAGAATACTTATAACAAAACTCACAATATAACATATTTGACAATACCGACCTGTCAAATGTGACTTTTATCTTTGATTTCCTTCACCGACAAGTCATATTGTTGTATTCAGATTAAATAGTCATTACTTTGTTATTATTTACTATTTTATCCAAATGGACATATTTGATTCATACAGGAACAAAAAAACAAAACAAATAAAACACTGATGAAAACACAAACATCTGAAAAATTGAAATATAACTTTGTTCTGAGAATGACCCTGACTGTTGATGTCAAATATAAAATTCTTACTTGTAAGGGAAAATTTTGTTTTCTACGTGAATTCAGTTTAGATTGTCATGGCTTGGCTTATAATTACTATTATTATTCAATTTAATAATCTAAGTATGACCTTGATCTGTAAATGAACTTGACTGTAAATATCAAATATAATATTCCAGTTTACTTTGTAAGGGAAACTTTGTATTTTCACTACAATATTTTTCCAAAAGGATATAAAACAGGTCGCCACTTGGCCAAAGGAAATGTTTTTCTGTTGTTTTCTTTTTGTCTGTGTGTCTTCGTGCTTAAGTGCGTGCTTTGGTGTGTGTTCGTTTGTTTGTGTGTGTGCTTTTGAAGTACAGGCTGGGTGTAGCAGGAACAATGTTATTCGTGTTTTTTTTTAATTTCAATCATTTACAAACTAACCTCATTGCTGTTTTATGCCGGTACATATGCAACAGAAGTAGGTCATCTTAACCATTTAGTGCATATTTACAATAGCAAGGGCTTGGTTATTTGGCATGTCGCAATAAAAACATTAACAAACGTTTATTAAATCAATCACGTACCTAGTGATATAACGCATGTGCCCTTGGTTCAACTAGTATTGTAAGTTTAAATAATATATTATCCATTTCTGACAAGTTTCATGAATGGGTCTCTTCCATGATTGAAATATTTTTTTTTTATTTCTTACAAAATTTTGCTTTCAAGCATATATTACCTATTCTTTGTTGTGCTATTGTTAGATTTCTTACTTTTTTGCAGTGTAGTGTATTGATAAAAGTTCAGTTTCTGCCTTTATTAATATGTCTTAATAATAGTTGGCAGCAGTTAATGTATATAAAGATAGAACACTAGCATGAGTGTTCAGTATTTAATGTAATTAAATGGTTATAATTCTACAATAAATGATCGAAATCTGTCTTGCAATCATTGCAGGGACTGGCTGACAAAACTAAAATTACATCACAGGATCAGCAATCACTTATAGAGCTACGTAAAAGGGTTGGAGTATCACCAACTGTCATAGAGGAGGTTAAACAGGTAATGTCAACAGAGCCATTTGATAGTCCATTAAATGTATAATTCTTAGGAGACAGTGACAATATAAAGTAATACAATAACAGTAGCCGGATTATTTTTAAATGCGGATGAAAAGAATGTATCATAAGTAAATAGATATATCTTCAGAAATACATTTCGTCGCTTGAATATTGAGGCATATATTAAAATGTAAATTTTACAAGATACATTTTCATCGGAACAATGTTCTCTTTGATGGCGCCATGAATGAGAGCACATGAAAACTCACTAAAAGCATGGATAAATAGAAAAAAAATGTTGTTGTTTTTTTTTGGTTTTTTTGTTGTTGTATGTCAGATAAAAACAATTATTTTACAGGTGAACATCAACCTTATGTTTGGTGTTCACTCTGTGCATTATGTTTCGATCTTTTATTCAAATTCATAATAAATGTTCAATCAAAACATCATAAGAAACGAACCCATTTTCCGATATGTCGAATTTTCCAATTGTAATGCGGGTAACATGTGCAGCATGGTGCTCTCCCCTTCAATTTGTGTACGAAGTATTTTCATTAGTCTGAGGTTTTCACATGACCAATGAAAATACTCCATACGAAAATACAGTTGCTGCATCCGCTACTTTCATGTTGGATTGAGAATTGGACAAATCGGAAAAACACGGTTCGTTATAGATTGGTATAATGCTTTGATTGAACAATTATTGCAAATAATAATATAATTTTATCATATTTATCAGCGCAGTACAAAAAGATATGTATTCATTTCGAATAAACTGCCGTTAATTTTCAAAAAACCTAGCGACCAGGCCGCCGTCGACTAATGTTATTTAATTTACTTCCCTACAATTTGGTACCAAGATTATGAAAATTGGTAAAAACGTGTTGGGGTTATGGAGTTCGCATAAAGATGAGTGCTGAAAAATGTGCAGCGAGTTGCATACCTTTATATGATATCGTATGATATATATGTATCGTTTTTGTTTTTTGTTTTTTATGGAAAATGACGGAAATTGAATTAAAGCATATATGAAATATTAGAGCATATTACAAATAAAAATTAATGCAGTTTACATGGGTTTGGAGAGGTAAGAAGGTTGTAGGGTAGGTAACGGCGGAAGGGCGGGGTTAGTGACCAATCAACGCGCCAAAAGCCGTGGTAAAAACTCAGAGAATTTTACTGATATAAAATTTATTGAAAGGCTTTAACTTTTTTGAAATTTATTTCGTTATAGGCATTGCTTGTAGACCTTCAAACATGGGATAAAAGGCAGAAAAAAGAATTTGATAAAAAGCATATAGAAGCGTGTACACCTTATATACAGAAATGTGCTGAGATTAGCTGGCTTATGGCTCTGCATGACCCTCCTTTGTGGATGAAAATGGATGTCAAACCAGGCGAGAAGTTTGATACAAATATCTTTACAGTGTACAGTCAATCTGGCCAAACAATAGATTTTTTGGTATTTCCACCGCTTTATAATGGTATTGATGGTGGACTTCTGTCTAAAGGTGTAGCCGAACCATTGAGAGTTTTGGGCAAGAAGAAATGAATATTTTGTAGTTATGGACTATGTTTGTCCGGAACTAGATAAGGGATACTATACATTTTTAAATATTATATATCATATTATAATTTTTTTTTTGCATTTACTATTGCAGAAATTGTTCACTGATTGTGTTTTCTATTTAAAACCGGGAAATGTATTCTCGTGTATAATTGATGAGAACAAGATATCACAAAACATTTTTATTATTGTATATATAAAATAAAATGTATATATTTTAGCTGTCATCATGTAATATATATTGTTTGCTTTATGATTTACATACAAAGATAAAGATAACAAAATTACTTTTTAATGATTTTGTATCAAAGTAATACAAGAGGTTGAATCTTCTATCAGCTTCAAACAGAAACTGCTACAAGACCTAGGGTAATCCTCAATCGCAATCATCGGTTTTTACTAGATTGTATGATTGCACTGTAATCATCGTTTAATTGATTACCTAAACATTAGTGTTTAAGTGGCATACAAATTAGTGATGGACATTACTTTATGAAGTAATGTTTATTGACTGCGTAACGTTGAATCATAAGTTTTACGTTAAATATTATGACGTTGAAGTCAATAACTTTTTGGAGTGCGCAGCTGTCACCGACATATGTTTTTGTAAATTAAATATTGTTGTTATATAAGACGCTACTAGCATGAATTTTTCTGTGTTTATTTGTTGTTAAGTCTTGTAAGTAGAATAAGAATTTCAAATCAATATCTAAAATATATTTTACGCAACAAAGAAAGTCCACGAATTTTGGATGACCCCTCGTAATATATGTTTCAAGTCACAATTATGTACATGTACATTGTATAACCATTTCTTCAAAGTTTTTGTCATAATAAAAACATATTCTTTTAATTGGAACATGATTGTGTACAGTATTAAATTTAGAAATGTATTTTGCATCACTGTTTGATATATGAATACATCAACATAACATACTAAGTGTTATTCAATGAGAAAATTTATAAACTATACTGTAGATTTAGTATGAAAATAAATTGCATATTAAGTGTAATATCTATTTTAGTTGATTCGTCTGCAAAGAGCACATTTTCCAGAAGTATTTCAAATATTGATAAAACAAAAGAGATGTATAATTTGGTTAATGTTATGTAATATTTCTAAAAAACAAAATGTTGATAAGAATTCTAAAGTGATTTAGTAAGAAAATGTATATGATGAATAATAATAGTTTGGTCAAGAACACTTTATTATCTGCTATTAATTAAAATGTCACATTGGATCATGTATCTAACACTTAACAACGGCATCCATATTTAATTCTATCATGATGGTTTGTTTTAACGTATAATATCACGTATAATATTAAATACTAACAACAAAATTACTTATGGTATTACGGACCAATTCATTTTAAAGTAATGGATCAACCTTGTGGTTTATTTAATTCCTTTTAGTTTATACGAATTTGTTTTAATTTGATTGTGTTATGTTATAACACTTGAACCCGTTCCTGAAACCAACCAATACTAAGCAATGAATGTTAAGTTTCTTGCTAAAGGAAATAAGGCTTGTCTCTAACGAGGCCAGCAATCCTTATATCAGAGGTCTGACGGGTAAACAGCTTATAGTCCTGGTCACCTTCACGATAGAAATATTAATGAACACACATTCAGAAATACTTCTTCACAATTATAATTTTTGTTATTTGTTCATGTATAGAATAGGATTTTTGTTGTGACTTAGAAGTGATGCTAATATTTGTAACACCCTTAATATGAATATGAAATGTGTTCTTCTGCAAACAAAGTATTTCTTCAATTCTTTAAATGACTTTGCCTTTTTTCTCTTGTGGATGATTAAACTCATTAAAGGCGTGGCGTTATACAATCTTAGGTAATGTTATATTTCAGAGTAAAGTCAATTTTATCACCTTGCCAAATTATATATTTATGCTTGAATAAAAAGGTGCTTAAGGTCTTGTCAAAATGTTGATGAAAATAGGAAGATTGCAGAAGCACTATATAGAATCACAACTATTTTTTTATTTATTGCACTTTGTATGTATAACTAATGTAAAAACAAACTACATTTCATTTTTTTTATTTTTCAATGTCATTTGAGGTAGCATTCTTTTGGCGACAAACAGTTTGGTTTTTGGAGTTTGAATATGTATTTGTATAATAAAATGATAACTATTATTACCTTGACTTTTTCTTATCAACCATGTTCAATGTCTGTTAATGGAAGGGGATAAAATGATAAAATTGTATCTGAACATTTTGACCAGTGTCAATGTTTAGGTAATACAATCTGTTTTAAAGAAAACAAAATATTCAGAGACGATGACGATGCAAATTTAGAAGCAATACGTTGTGTAAAATTTCAAATACATGAAATATTACAAAACATGTTAGAGTCAGTGTATAAGAAAACACCATTTATAAATGTTATGTGAACAGTAGTCATACCCTGGGTTATGAACTTGTTGGCGAGGCATTTAAAATTAACAGTTTAGATCTTCAAGATTTGCATGATTAACAGTCCGAAAATAAAAATAACTTCGTTTATGGAGAATTAGGCAGAGAACAATTAATACAGCTTAGAATGATACGAATCTTAAAATTTTGGTTTAAAACATTGAAATCGGAATAACATTTGTGCATTAAAAAAGTTTACAATATGATGATCTTTAATATAGAACAAAAACCAAATTATAAATGTTGGGCTAATTCAATTAAACAATTACTTCAGAGACTAGGGTTTTATCATGTTTTGGTTAATCAGGGAGTGGGAAATGAAGTCTTATTTTTGAACTCGGTAAAACAGAGACTTAAAGATAACTACATGCAAAACTGGACAGAATCTCTACGCAATTCATCAAGAGCTCCCCTTTACATTCTTTTTTCAAACTTTAATTTTAAATTGTATCTTGAACAAATTAACATTCAGAAATTTAGAATAGCATTAACAAGATTTAGAGTTTCAGCACATAGGTTATTAATTGAAACAGGGAGATGGCATAAACCAAACAAAATTCCAAGAAATGAAAGAAAATGTATAATATGTAACACACTCGAAGATGAAATACCATTTTTTTATTAGAATGTACTTTATATTGTGAAATAAGAACTAAGTATTTACCAAAGTACTACTGGAAAAGACCAAAAAAAACATACCTAAATTTATCGAATTAATGTCAAATGAATCGGATACTATGATAAGAAAACTGTTCCACTTTTTTTATAAAGTTTTTGAAAATCCGTAACCGATTTACTTTTTCTTAAAAATATTTTCTATCACACTTTTCTCCTACACGTCATTTTTACAAGTATATATTTATAATCTGTTTTTGTTTATCATTCATTCAATACTTAAAAATATACATTTTATATGTAAGTGTAACGCACATGTGTATTTGATTATAAGTTCATGTTATATTATGCAATATTAAGTTTCTTCTAGTAAAACATACATATTTATATGAGATTGTAATATATTTAATCACAAATTCAGGTTTTATTGTGAATTATTAAGTTTCTTCCGGTTAGAACATAATGCAATTTATCTTATTTTTTTATTTCTTAGTGTTTAAAAGCTTTATGCATGCAACATAATCAATTCTATTAAGAATTGTTGCATAAAATGTATACCTTAAACTAAAATATTACATGCCTTTTAGAGACTATTATATGTCATTGTTATATGTCACCATTGACCTATTTTTATTATAAAATGATTGATTGTATACCATGACACTCATGGGTTTGTAACCTTTTGTGAATAAAGATTATTATTATTATTCTTAAAAATGAAAAGTTCTGACATATTTACAAGATGAATAGTCCACACAATTAACAATATGAAAAGTTGTAAGAAAATATGTATTAACAATAGTAATGATAAAGGACACAGTCGACAGCTATGCCAATGTTAGCATTTACAATTACAGCGCATTTTAGGCCACTATCTTTTGATATTTCAGGTTCACAGACCCGCCGACTCATTATTTTATAATATAAGCAGAGATTGGAAAATGAATGTAAACAACAGTTATAATAAATGACAAAATGAACAGATCTGCCAATATTGGTATTTAAAATTATAGCACATTGTAAGAAATAGTATATCAACTATAATTCTGTAAAAAAAAAAAAACATTCTGTCTTAGCTTCCCGATCAGTACCTTCAGTGATTTGTTTCATTTTTCCGATTTGTTCGAATAGATGTTATTTTTTCGTTCAAGAAAATATCTGGTCTAAGAATGATCCATTGGAAAACGTATTTTGAGGAGAAGCATGCGCATTACAATTTATGTAGACTGGTTCTTATGATTAAAGACTAAACTTCAATTTGATACGAATGCCGCAAACAGTCATTATCAGCACTGTGGAAATGTCTTATAGAAATACTATTTTCAAACTAGTCTGTAGGCTCCTGCGGGGTAAACAATATCCGGAATTTACTATTAAAAGAAACAAACATTAGCTCTAGTGGACATAAAGGAGTCTTTTTACGAAAATAACTGAAAAACAACAACATGCTTGTACCCGACTGAACGGAGATTGCCCGCGTTTTTCGAAATGTTAAAATCTGTAGATTTTACAATACAACAGTATGTCAGTTGGTTATGTCCAAGGTCAACACCATGTTTGATTTAGAAAGTATTCTTGCATAAAACTGTACATACAAACATACATACATACATACATACATACATACATACATACATACGTACGTACGTACGTACGTACGTACGTACATAAATACATACATACATACATACATACATACATACAAACATACATACATACATACATACATACATACATACATACATACATACATACATACATACATACATACATACATATGCTCCAATTTTGACAAAAAACAAGGTTCAGTTGATCATTGTTCTAGTAACCGGAACCAACTTTAAAGGTCATAACTTAAACTTGCGAAAAGGGTTTTTGGTTTGTATTGCGCACACAGGGGGATCACAGGTATTCGCTACGTTTAAATAATAGGTCTAGTTTTCTGATATTTTAAGAGGTTAACAAACATATTTGGAGCTAATACTTAAGAAATAATGAGTGCAAATGTATTTTTTGTAAAATATATATTTATTGTTTAAAAGCTCTTTTTAGTATTTTGACCCTTTTTAAATTTTGAACAAAGAATAGCAAGTGTCATAAATTAAGTCACTCATGGCTACCCGTGGATAATATTGGTGTAATCACTTTTAAAACCGGTGTTTCTGCACGATTTGGAGATATTTGACATAATATTAAAACATGTGAACACAAATACATAGTCATACTGTATCTTCTCGTATGTTTAATAAGCAAGAAACATATTAATTTAGACGATTCTACATTCATCGCTACAGTAAGCCTTCACCTGATCGTGTTTACTTACAGTTTTGCGTCGTCACGTGTGAGGTCTTCCCTTGCTACAATGGACGAACCTTTAAGAAGACTGCAAGGTTTAAATACGTCGTGTTTGAGATATTTATCTACAAACTTACGTTAAATTTACCGACAAATGGAATAACTTTTTTTATTGTTGAGGTGGTAATTAGTCATGCCACAAGATTATAGACATTTTTCTCACAATTTACAAAATGAGTGTAAATTATGAATTATTGCCGGTTCTAGATAAATGTTTGCTTTGCCTTAGTTTTTATTCTTGACAAGTACAATGTATAGTATTCTGAGATATGCCAGGACAACAGACATTTCTGAATTGTGGTGTAAAACGAAAAAGGGATGATCAGTGTGATAGAAACTCGGATGATGATAATAATAACATTTGCATAATTTCCAAAGCTAAATACGTCAAAATGGGGAGGCAAGATTAAAGCCCTTTTCATCTTTAAATATGCATGAAAATAATACATGTAGTGTCAGAGTAAAAGAAAGGAGAAAAGTAACCCGTGCAAGATAAGTCGGACACGCCATTTCATACAAAAGAGCTGTACCGAATATTGTTGAAAATCACTTTATGAATAAGACCAGGAACAGGATCAATTAATTGATCAATTACGACTAAACTTAACACAATATATTACATGGCATAACAGGGTATTGCTTTAAGTCAATTTGTAAAGATTATACACTTCAGGTAAAAGCATTTGATTGTTAATAATCAACATTTCCACAAATTGAAAGATATTACAAAGTTTGACACTTTCGCGCATTTCCATAATTGAGTATATTGAATGGGGGTAAGTTTAATACTAAATTTATTGAGCGAAATGAGTAAAATGATATTATGCGAACCTCTGGCGAGCATAATATTACTTTATTCAAAGAGTTCAATAAACTCAGTAATACATTTACACGAATTTAATATTTATATCTATCACATACCAAAATTAAAGAGCGTTTGAAATGAAAAAGAAGCAGTTTTCGTTGGTGCACCTAAAGTGTAACACAAATGACGTCGCGTCAAAATATATGCACTATACCATTTTCAAAGAGTCGCAAAAACGGCACGGGTCTGTGATAGAGACATCTTTGAAAAAGTAAAGAAAACAAACATACTAATGTAGAGTACTATAGTGACTGTAGTCCGTCACTTGATCAGAGAAAGTCGGTAAAGTTTACCAACAGCAACTATGTGCTGAATGGGCATAAAAACACAATCAAAGTAACCATGTAGATTAAATGCAAAAAATTATTTAGAATTAAATTATATTTTGTAATATTTGGTTACATATCATACTTGCTCTAGTGAAGTAATAACACAACTCAAGAAATCAAATATTCATTTACAGCTTCACACGTAATACTGTGTTAGATCATGTATAACTGTCCATGGTTACAGAATCCAATGAAAGCATATGCAATAGAGTAGACAAAGACGGAGCTTCTATCTGCTATCAAAGCTTCACTGGACGAGCAACTGACTGCTGAACATTTTAAAACAATTGGACTACATTGGTCTTAATCTTAATGAGATTAAGGATAAATTGAATGTTTGTTTAAATGCACGTCAACACATAACTGGCCATGTCGTGCTGAATGCTATAATATGCTTAAAATGGTATGTAAAACTTTGTAAATGCCAATTAGATCCTAAAATACAATGTTATCTCTTTCAAATAATCAATGATGATTTTTATGGAATTGTATTAAAGAGTTATTTGAGTGAATTTATATAATAAATCTATTACGGGCCTGTGAAAAAT